ATTGAAAAAACAGAAATACTTTTGTTAGAAAGCGATAAGTGATTAGTTTCATTGTTCAGCGGTTGAATCGGGGATTACTCAATTACCCCTAGGACTTGAGTAGTTCGGGTTTTTGTAATGCTCGTGATGTGAAGTGACACTGACTTGATATCCTTTTTGAGTTTCTGAGGATTTCGTAACCTCAATTGAATCCATCCCACCATGAAGCCCAACAAAAACCTTGTAGATCCAAGCACCTAGAAATGATCTTATTGTTAGATTATAGATCTTATTGTTACTACTCACCGATGATCGCTCCAATGATTGGTCCAACAAGCGGAATCCAGAAATAGAAGGAATGGGCGCTGAAGGATATTGAAAGATTATGTACTACTTGATTTAGATCTTGATAAATTCAATATTTGTTAAGTGTACAGAATCCTTGACAAGGCTGGACATCTTACCTGAAAGCAGCTCCTCCATAACCGGCACAGAGGAGCCAGAGTCTTGGACCGAGGTCTCGAGCAGGGTTGATTGCAAAACCACCATTGCTACCATAAGTACCAGCAATCTGGAGTAATCAGTTAAAAATACATTGCTTATTGTGCTTTTCTTGTCTCACCATTGTCATGATTGTGCCAGCAAGTGGTGGAATGAAACCTGGTGGAATCTTGTGTCTCTTATCAGTGATCAAGCAAACAAGCCCAGACAAGAGAGCTGTACCAATGATCTGAATGCTTGGCTTTAAAATCTTATTAACCAGCTCTTAAGATCGATTGGGCTAATGGCAAACTGCTCTTTCAGTTCTAAAGTAAGCTTTCAATTCAATTCAGCTTTACCTGATCGAAGAGACTTCCCCAGGTGCTCATATGAGCGGTTGGATAAGTAGCAAAGAGGCCAGCCGTTGCATTCCCTCCAATCACCTCTTTCTCACCGGATCCCAAATATCGAAGATCATCTAGATTTGGTTTTTGTCTAGATCTAGATTTTTCTAGATTTTTCTTACCAAAATGCCCAAACCAAGTCATCCCAGCGCCAAGAAAAGCGCCAATCACTTGAACAATCCAATAACTTAACATTCTTCCAGCTGACAGATTCCCGAGAATCAATTGCGCTAAGGAGATTGAAGGGTTGAGATGACCACCTGGATTTTAGAAAAGTCATTAATTCTTATCTTACTTTTGAACAAGGATTTATCTTTGAAAGGGGGCCTTTTCTCATACGCCAACCTTCCGTTTCCTCTAAAAGCTCCCACAGTTTCTTTTTTAATCGAGTTATTAAATTCTGGAACCCTTTCCCCCTCATGTTCGTGATATTCCCACCTTGGCTAGATTTAGCTAGTACATCTTTATTGTATATGTTAGATTTAAAGCCGCAATTTCGGCAATTGATTTGACTGCTCTGTGATTCTTTCTTGAGGTATCTACACTACTGGACAATGAAATATGATATCTGAAAAAAGATCGTCACTTTCGCGCGTCTGTAACTCCCTTGTCTTTACCGTATTTCTAAATATTAATATTACCATTGTGTAGCCCTTGAAAAGAGCTTTCAGAAAATGTATAACACTAATAGTTTAAACTCAAAGACACAGGAGTTACAGACGCGCGAAAGTGACGATCGTTTTTTCAAATATCATATTTCATTGTGCAGTACTGTAGATCTATTGGAAAGCTATTGGAATTCAATTTTTAGATGAAACAAATCTAAGAATTTCTGATATTCCAATTTTTAGATACTCGTCATGTTTTGATTTCAAGCGGTGGTGATGGAGGGAAGATCTCGGGGATCCTCTCGGTCACTGATTTCATCAGAGTACTCTTGATAAAATATAGATGAGTTACAGACGCGCGAAAGTGACGATCGTTTTTTCAAATATCATATTTCATTGTCCAGTAGTGTATTTCTCTTTTGGGTGTGATTTGCGTGATGTCCCGGGTAATTATTGTGATTTTGTTTTGTCGCTATTCAACTGAATAAAGCATATGCCGTATTCTCTCTAATAGTATTGCGGTCCGGGAGGGAGTTGAAAAAATAGTAGTGCGCACTACTATTAGAGAGAATACTATATATATATATAAACATGTTACAACTTGCTTTAGTTAGGTTGGGGGGGTGCCCGCCGCACCCTAAGGGACCCTAACCTTCACAAACCCTTAATTTCTTAACTCTGCTTCATATTTTCTCAAAATGACTTTTGAGAGTTCCAAACTTTCTTTTCTTGGAGTTTATACCCGACTCTTTGAACAGTTTTCCATAAACCTTCTTTGTTTATATAAAAGGGAGGGTTCAATTTTAAATTTGCAGGAGCCCTTTTTTCTAGATGACTTTGTAGTTTTTTGTGGCTTTTTCTTGCCGGAGGCGCTGTATTTCTTTAAATGTCATTTTGTAGAGAATTAGTTAACCATTCTACTGATATCAAACGCATATTATTTGACGAAGTCGAATAGAAGTTTTAGACATTTTTTTGATTTTCGGCGCCGACTCATTCTCCCCAACCCAATACATTCTCAAATCAACTTCAAGGCTATTACATTCTCAAATCTTGTATCTTTATTTAATATTAGTGCTTGTTTTCTTCACACTTTTACTTGAAAATCGATTTTCGAATCTCACCAGAAACACTGGCTGCCAAATAAACGGCAAACATGAACCCGATTCCCCAAGCGATCGTCGCCACAGCAGCGTCTCCGCCAGGCATTGCACCTTGAACGTTTGCTGAGGTTCCGATAAACTAAAATGCAAGATTGCAAGATGAATATGACTTTGAATTGACTTTAGTTTAAGTTTTAGATCTCTTTCACTCACCACTAACATAAAAGTGCCAATCATCTCAGCCAACAATTCCCTTAAAAGACTCTTGTCCTCGATTCGAAAATTTCCGACGATTTTTTCCCGAAAGTCCTCCATCGCCATTCTAGAAGCTTTCTTTTAAAGTTAGATAAGAAAAGATTAAAAAGCTTTAACAACAAAGTGTTTATTTTTTAAATTTACAATTAAAAAGAGAATTTGAAAGTGTTTAAATAAGGAATTCTTAAGAATTCTTAAGAATTTATAAGAATTTTTAAGAATTCCTTATTTAAAGAATTCTTTTAAGATTTTCAAATGTCAAATAATTATGAGACAAGGTCAAAAAGATTAGAAAATCTATTTTAAAGTAAAAGTGTAAAGAAAACAAGCACTAATATTAAATAAAGATACTAGATTACTAAGGCTGAACGATACTAGATATTAAAGATACTAGATTACTAAGGCTGAATGATACTAGATTACTAAGGCTGAACGATACTAGATATTAAAGATACTAGATTACTAAGGCTGAATGATACTAGATACTAAAGATACTAGATTACATTTGAGAATGTAATAGCCTTAGTAAACTCTAGAATTTGAAAGTCTTTAAATAAGGAATTCATAAGAATTTTTAAGAATTCCTTATTTAAAGAATTCTTTAAGATTTTCAAATGTCAAATAATTATGGGACAAGGTCAAAAAGATTAGAAAACCGATTTTAAAGTAAAAGTGTGAAGAAAACAAGCACTAATATTAAATAAAGATACTAGATTATTAAGGCTATCACATTTGAGAATGTAATAGCTTTAGTAATCTTTAGTAATCCTTAGCCTTAGTAAACTCTAGAATTTGAAAGTCTTTAAATAAGGAAATCTTAAGAATTCTTAAGAATTCCTTATTTAAAGGATTCTTTTGCGATTTTCAAATGTCAAATAATTATGGGACAAGGTCAAAACACCCGCAAAATCCGCACTCAACACGTTCTTTTTTCCGCCTAGATGAGTGCGAGTTTTTAGGAAAAGGTGAGGGAGAAATTATCTCAATCGAAAAGAAAAAAAGAAAGCTAAGTGTTTGATTTTTGATCTACAATTTGCATTACTGAGATTTTACAAAGTTTTAAGTGTTAAGGAACTATTGAATAAACTATCAAACGCTGGAATTTCGTCTTCACACGAAAGTATGATTAATTGAGTGATTAATAGACACTTTTGTAAAGCTTTCCTAAGCAATCAATAAAAATGAACACAATAAGATGTTCACCAAAAAGTTTAGCTTTTCTTGCGTTCTCTTATTGTCAGTACTCTTGGTCTTAAGTTTACTAAAGCTTTAGTGGAAAAAGTTGATTTCTAAAACTAGAAATATTAGGTTGTTCGGATATAAAGAAGCGTTACTAAAATTATTGCTGTGAGAGAAGCTTTTAAAATATGTCTTTCTGTATTTAACAATACGTTATCTTGTGTATATTTGGAATCTTTTTAAATGGATAATTTCTTATTATTAAGATCTTTTTTTTCTTGCTTTAGATGACCGACTTCAAATATCAGTTTCGCGTCTGCCTACTTTACGACTTCACCTTTAGATGACCGACTTCAGCTTTCGATGACCGACTTCAGCTTTAGATGACCGACTTCAAATACACTACTGGACAATGAAATATGATATTTGAAAAACGATCGTCACTTTTGCGCGTCTGTAACTCCCTTGTCTTTACCGTATTTCTAAATATTAATATTACCATTGTGTAGCCCTTTAAAAGAGCTTTCAGAAAATGTATAACACTAATAGTTTAAACTCAAAGACAAGGGAGTTACAGACCCGCGAAAGTGACGATCGTTTTTTCAAATATGATATTTCATTGTCCGGTACTGTATATCAAGTTCTGCCTACTTTACGACTTCAAACTGGGCAAAACAGTAACGGAATCCCATTGAGATTTGGTCAAAGCATTTGGGAATGATGTATTGTTCGAAAGCCGCTGCCAAGCCTGGTTCCAACGCTTTCGGAACGGTGATGAAAGTCTCGAGGATCATGAACACTCTGGTCGACCTCAAGCGGTAGACAACGATATTTTGAGGGCTGCAATCGAATCGGATCCATGTCAAACGACGCGTGAGCTTGCGCAACAATTTCTATGTTCAAATTCTACCATTGATGAGCATCTCCGCGCCATTGGAAAGGCGATCAGATGCAGGAAATGGCTTCCTCACGAGTTAAGCAGTGCAAACGCTCGTTTATATCCGAACAACCTAATACTTTAAGATTCCCACGAAAAACAAGAAGAAACTCTTAGAAAATCTGGGAAAAAATTTAGAACACTTCTCAGTGTTAATTGAAGAGAAAATGAAAGATTTGCTCGTTCGAAAGATTTTAAAAAATGATCCAATCATCTCAAGGTCACTTCCATGCTTTCATTAGCACAAAAAAATGACGAAAAAACGGTACAATTTTGAACAGAAAAATCTCGAAATGATTGATCTTGTCGGGAATTTTTGTCGGCTTTTATTTTTAGAAAGACTTTTTTTGGGATTTTGGGGTTTTGGGATCAGCAAATGATTAGCGATCAGCAATTTTTGGGATTTTTGCGATCAGCAAATGAAATCAAATGTCAAATCAAATGAAATGAAATCATATGAAAATCAAAATCAAAATCAAAATCAAAATCAAATCAAATAAAATCAAATGAAATCAAACTACTAAATCATAAAAGCTACGAAGAAGAAAAGTTATTCAGATCAGATTCAGATCAGATTCAGATCAAAAAAAACAATTTTGATCACAAGTTTGAACTTTCAATTTTTCTTTTACTCATTGTCAATTGCTTTTGGCGAGCTTTGAGTTTGCTAGAGCCAGGAAATCGGTTCAATTACCCAAGTAGTAATTGAATCGGTAATTGAACCGATTTCCTGGCTCCATAGCAGTGTGTTAGGTGCTACTTTCTTACCAGACACAAAAAAGGACGCACACCAGAGAAGATTTTAGTGATTGAAATGATTTGCTAGCTTTGCAGTGTGCCAGATGGATTTCTTTGGACAACAAAGTACGCGCACTAGAGAAGATAATGAATTAGAGTTGGAGTTGGAGTTGGAATTGGGATTTGGATTGGAATCAATTAGAGTTTCTCCAACTCTCCAAATAAAAGTTGGAACTTGTTTTTTCTTTTTTGAGTTATTTTAACAAAGAATTGTGCTTTATGTTAATTTCTTTATAATGGTATGTTTTGAGTGATGTTCCGGGTAATTATTGTGATTTTGTTTGGTCGCTATTCAACTATTCAACGGTAAAGCATATACCGTATTCTCTCTAATAGTATTGCGGTCCGGGAGGGAGTTGAAAAAATAGTAGTGCGCACTACTATTAGAGAGAATACGATATATTTTTTGCAAATTTCAAAAATCTACTTTATTATCCAGATTTAATAAATTTGAAAGCTTTTGTATGGCGAAAAACAAAAAAAGAAAAATCAATTCTAGTTTTAAAATCGAAAAATTTTCGAAAGACTTACGGCAGGCAGGCATAAAAATAAACTACAGTAATTTTAGAAACAACAAAAAAAGACTAGAGAAAAAGACCAAAGAAAAAGACTTTTCTACCGTATACCGTTTGGGGAGAAATACACGATTGGACAAAGTTCAAAGAAGCTTTGAAAAGAACTTGAAAAGGTAAAATAGAAAGAATTGCTTAAAAAAAAGAATAAATCATACAAATCAAATATTATGGAAGAAAAAAAAGATGAAAAACGATAAAGATGAAAAAACAAAAAATGAATTCTCTAGGAATTGGATGGGAAAAATGGAAAAATTGAAATTTTTAGATAAATTTATGCAAATCTTTAAGCTTAAAGGCTTAAAGATTTGCATAAATTGATTTGCTCAATCATTGAGCTCAATGCTTTGCTCAATTTTTCCTTACAAATCCCTATAAGCTGATTGAAAAATTTCAGAATTTTTCCACAAAATGAATCATGAATTTTGAATTTTTAAATGAAACTTTTTGACAATGGGAAACGATTTTTTTTGTTTGTGGGGAAATGGGCGGATTTTCGGATGGGGAACAGGGAAATATTTGTTTTTTTGGGGAATTTAACTCTTTTTCATTCATAATTTAACTCTGAATAACTAGAAATTGATTTTTGAATTTTGTGCAAATATTTAAAGCCTAAATTTCAGCTTTCTTTTTCAAATTAGGTATAACAGAAATAGTGTAAAATTTGGGCAAAAAGTGTGCATTTAAAAGTTAAAAGTATGGCTAAAGATTGAATAAAAACAAGAACAATACTACTGAAAGGATGATTGTTGTTGCTGTTGTTATTGCCATTGTTATCATTGTTGCTTTTCTTTTGATTCCCTCTTATTTTCGTCATTCATCGTAAACTCAAATCGATCAACGTGTGTGAATAAGTGGCTGGTTGAAAGAGCATCTCCAGCGTATCACCCTCAGCTTTCCGGCCACCGTAACGATTCTTCACGATCTGGAATTTCACTTAAAATTGATACCATATCCCATGTCAATACACCTACCGTAATAATAAATAAACTAAACTAAATACATACCGTAAATACTGTAAGTCGTGGGGTGGGGTACTATTTATTCGGTATGTATTTAGTCGTTCACACACGTTGATCGTACAGTCGCGTAGTCGCAAAAGCTTTTTAGTATTTCATTTTTTGCAAAGCACCCGTACTTTCAAAAAATAGCCCTGAATTTCAGCAATTTTTTGATACCTAAGCGTACATTGTAGCATAAACCAGTGTCGAGAAAAACTCGTTCAAAGCTAGACTACGCAACGCTCCGCACCGTCATTATGGAGGTGGAGTACTATTACAGTATTTACGGTAACTAGTTTAGACCTATCAGGTTTAAACTTACTTTAAACTTTAAACACAGAAACTTAAACAATAAGCATCACTTTCCTTAAACTATTAGGCTTTCGAGAAAATCTTTTCGTTCAGAAAAATAATTAGCTTTTTTAATGAAACAAATCGTAGTTCAATTGGTGAATTTGTTGGTTTTAAACGGAAGTATGAAAAGGAATGAAAAGACTCATTCACTACTATAATATATTCATTTGAAATGGTTTAGAACATGACACGAAAAAGGGAATAACCCTAACAGCTAATCAATCAAGTAAAGCCGTAAGATTTCATTACAAAACATTTGTGATCAATTGGCAGCAAAGACAGAGACTCCATCGGTTGTTCTTTTAAATATTATTAAATCTATTGCTAAAAACTTGACTCACCCGCAGAAATTTGCGATAATTTGACGCTTTCTTCCCTTCATCTCTTCTCCTCACAATCACCAACACATTATCGGCTTCTTGGAGTACACGAGATGATCCACCCAGCATTGGCGCCTCCATTTCAGAGGTTTCACTCTGGAAATTGATAAGTAACTAATTGGTTTGGTAATTAATTTACCCAAGCTATGCTATTCTGTCAAAACTGTAATAAATTCCAAAAAAAAAACAAAAACGAGAGCCGTGTTCCGTTTCCTTTTCTCATTACTAATTCAATCACTTCCCCCTTTCCGCATTCCTGGTTTTTTTTTCGCTTTTTTTGCCTAATCACTCTCATTTTTGAAACGGACTTCATTTTTTCGCGGGTGAACGACCATCGTCACGTGTACTCCATAATCGGTAGCAATTCGACGGATCAAGCCGACGAAACGATCCTAAAATATAGATGGAATAAGACAGATATACCAATATTTGTCACTTGCATTCGATTTTTAATATTTTCAGTGAAATATAGCTCTAGACGATCTAGTTTAGAACTTTGGAACAGCTTTGGACTACAATACTTACTTACTTCCTTACAATACAATAAAATACAAGTTTGGGCACAGTAACTCCAGTTAACCCAATCCATAAACAGTCAGTCAGTCGATATTTTATGAACAGAGTATTCTCAAACCTGCATCGATGCTCTATCGTGACTCGTCGTTTTCTCATCGTGCAGCGTTGCTAAACCGACCAAAAACTGGAGATTGTCAATGACAACGTGTTGAACCCCGCTGTTCGCGATTTCGTTCTTGATCGCCTGAACATAAGCTTTTAAAAAAGATCCATTTACTTTCCCACCCCCGCAATCTGGTTAATCGTTTTGTCCCTGAACTCTTCTGATTTCATAATTGTCATCGCTCCTTTCGTCCTCTCGAAACGATCAAGCCAAGCCTCCACTGATGGATGATGTTCGACACGGTGAAGAGGGATTCTGAAGGAAGAAATGTATAATTGTTTGCCCAGATCAATCACACCAAATTAAGAAACGTAAAGAGCCGGAGTTCACTAATTTCTAGAAAAAAATGGGATTCAGTATACTCACTATCAGTCCATCTACAGTATGTCCAAGGAAAAAAAATCTAGTTGTCAATGTCTGGAGGCTGAACAAGTCTTAAGGCCTGAAATAATTCTGGCATACTGTAGCTAGCCATGAGAGATATTTTATAGTATTCTTAATGAATTCACCAATCGTAAGTCTAATACCAAACTACTTACTCTAACACTATTCTAATTCCAAGCAACAAAGGGCACAAATTCAATGGAAATCTCGGCACTTTTCACGGCCTCCTTACTTGATCCCACTACTGTAAGTCCTCGAGCGGGCCAAACTCCGAAGATGGGAAGGACTAGAATATTTTTTGAAGGAAATAATTTCAAAGGATAGAGTAAAGAAGCCGAGTGCTCTACGGGACAAACTCTAGGAAAACACATGCTCTTTGTGGCACTCACCCAGCGTATTGAACAAGCATCCATTTGAGGATCTTCTCCTCGGGCATTTCGAAACTGCAGAAAAGGGTACGAATCTGGAAATTTAGCTCTTATACAGAGTTATACTTTGTCAAAAAGAGTGTTTCTTTATATTTAAAGAGAAGATCTTTTTAAAGCTTTCACTAAACTCAATAGATCTGCCAATTTTCTTTTACTACAATATACTACAATATACTACAATATACCATAACAATAAACTACAATCTACTACAATCTACTAAAATTACCCCTTGTGTCAGAAGATCCAACGCGTACTCGCAGAGAAACGTCGTCTTCCCATATCCCGTCCCACCAGTTAAAACAGTTAACTCAGCCGGACGAAAACCGATCAAATATCGATTCAAAGCATCAAAACGTTTCCACTAAAGTGAGGAGATAAAATAAGAAAAATAAAATAAACTCTTTAGATTTTAAAAGCTCATCTTCAAATATTAACCAACCTGACACAACCCGGCCGTCCTCGTCTTGCTATTCAACAACTCATTTCTAACCTCATCACGAATATCAAGCATTGATCTGAAACAATGACAATTTCAAATAAAAGTTGAATTGCTAAATCTAGAAGAATTTACCTGAAGCCAGTCTCTCTCATCCTTGATGCCTGTTCTCGAATAATATGATTGATCTCTTTCTTTTGATCGTTTCTCAACAGCTCGATTGGTCGATCTGGACACCTGGAAACAGTTTAGTCATATAAATAAATACAAAATAAATAAAAATTTCAAAACTACCAGAGCTTACTTGATTAATAGACATCTCGTTGGATTCAAGACATGCGCAAAATCCTTTGCAAACTCGGTGTGTCGCTGGGGAAACCACAAATAGATCACGTCAAACTCCTCGAGGAAAGGGATTACCTAAAGAATTGATTGAATCAAGTTTTAATTAGGTAAAAGTAGAAGAGGAATTAAACAAAAAAGAAACTGAAGACTTTAACATACCAGCCCAAAGTTGGCTCTAGTTAGCTGTAGCAATACAATTTGTAGCGCTTTACAGGTTGAGTATAGCTAAGAAGATTAGAGTGTTTCTTTCGAGTAGAAAATTTACACGAGTAATTTACTTAGTTAATTAATTAACATAAATAATTTTGGGGTAGGCTAGTTTCCGTAATTTTTTTTTGCGCAACAGGGTCATTTGCGCAACTCGTCATAACTTTCTTCTAAGTGGACCAATCTTTATGATTTTGGTTTCATTTTGTAGATCTCAACAAGTGCAATAACATGACACCAAAACCATAAAGATCGCACAACTTAGAAGAAAGTTATGGCGAGTTGCGCAAATGACCCTGTTGCGCAAAGGACCCAGTTGCGCAAATAACCCTGTTGCGCAAAAAAAGTTGCGGAAACTAGCCTACCCCATAATTTTAACTCGATTGACATTTTTCGTCGACTAACTACAATTAATCCTCTTTACATGTCGAGTAAATTGAATATCTTTATATTTGGAGGGAATTTGCGACCAATTCAGCTAAACAACTGAATATCTTTAAAAGAACTCATATATAACTCGGCGCTCGTCATTTTTTTTCATTTTTTTCGATCATTTTACTCGAGTAGAAAATTTACATTTCCATTTTCGAAACGTAGTTTTTTTATTTTCCCAAGTGTGCTTTTAAAAAACGCATTACTCGCAACGAACATACAGCTAAGATTACGAGTCCACCTATTCCCGAAGAAGATAAAATCAAATAATTAGAGGATTTTATCCAAAATCCCACTCACATCCATATCCAAGTGTTCCCCTTGTGGTAATGCAAAAGTCAACATGCCACCAGTCGCCTCGTAAACAGCTAGCGCATCTCTTTCGTTTGTCGTGAGAATCACTTTTCGATCAGATCCCGTCATCATATGATATCCAAAGATTCCCGAGAATCTTTTGCTAAAATTTTTCCTTTTTAAAAGTTTTTGTTTCAATTTTACCCCTCAAGTTCATCCGGATAGTTCTCCTTTTCCAGCTTGTCACCGATTCGTCGGATCAGTTTTAGACCTTGGGGTGGTCTCATTCGCGAGCTCGGGCCTCTGTATCTAAAGTTTTATTTATGGTATAAAGAATTCTTGGCTTTCTCACCTTGGATACATAATTGCCATCTGGTCATAGCTGTCACTGTGTGCTCTCACGTTGAAACGTGATAGAGTCTCGAGTTTGATTCGCTGAAATTAGTGGAGTTCATTCTAGATTTTGAAAAGATCTAGATTTTCAATTTAAAACTTAAAACTTAGAACTTTCATAAGCTTAACAAAGTTACATCAATTCCGAGCATTGTCCTCAAATGCAACATGTCACTCTGCTCAATCGCGTTCATTTCGTGCACATCGATCGATTCAGACCAGAATTGACGAATTGCTGGATCGGGAGCTGTGTTCTAAAGAGAGAATAATCTACAATATATAAAAGAACATTGTCTGTCCGTCCATCTGTCCGTCTGTCCGTCTGTACGAGCTTTTTCAAAAAAGTCAAAATTGATTGACAGTACGGGGGGTCGAACCCGGCTCGTGTGAATTATAGACCAATCCTCTCCCGATCACGCCACTGCCTTACCTGACTTTGCTGTATCATTGCTTGTTTTGATGTCCCCTCCTCGTTGTTCCTCGGTGAAATCGTATCAGCACTAAAAAAAATTGGATTTTCAATCTCGAACCTCGAAAAACCTGTCCCCTAACCCCCTCATTATTGTCTGATTTTGATAAACACTAATCGGCAACTCGTCTCGATCGAAACTCTCCACAAATCTCGGTCGATATCGCAATTGTTCATCATCCGACGGCAATATCAAATAATCATCAATATCAAATTTCTCTTCCGTATCTTGCCATCGTATCCTTCTCTCGTGATTCAAATCATCAAAATCTTCAGACTCAACATCTTTATCGTATTCCCAATGTTTTCTCGGTGGATCAAGGTCCCATCTTTTTCGAGGTTTTCGATTTCTTTTCAAAATCTGTTCTTCTAGGTATTTTTCTCGTAGAATTCGTTCAGCTGGGCAACTCTCAAAGTCTGAATCAGAGTAAAGATTTGGGCGGAACGAAGGAAGAGATTCGGAGGCTCGAAGGGAATTATTGTAGTCGAGTTCCTCGGGGGAGACCGGCCGAGAGCGGTACGGTCGATCGTGGCGACGGCGTCGCATTGAGAATTCAAGATCTTTGGGTTTTAGATAAATTTTCGCTCGTTGGGTTTCAGATGGTAATCAGCTGGACAAGAATGAGATACTATAGGAAAAATAGTGTCTGCTAAAGAATATAGCTGACGTAAAAGAGCTGATAGTCGTAGCAGTCGGATAATACAAATCTACTTGAAGATAAATATCGACTCTAGTAAATCAGTTCAAAGTTCAACAGTTCAATAACAACAAATATCAATAATTTAGTGTTCTGAGAGTCGAAATTCGTCTCCAAATAGGATTAGTAGTCAATGGTTGACTCAAAAAAAAGCGGAAAGGATCTCTCATAGAAAAGCTAAAGGATTGAAGTGAAGCGTGAAAGATTTAAGAGTTATTGGGGTGACATTCGTCTTGAAATTTCCTACTATACAATGTAGGTGTTTTTTTTTGGGGAATTCTTGAGGTTCAGAGAAATTTCTTCTTTTTTGAGGAGATTGAGGGTTTTCTTTGAGTTGGAAGTGTTGAATGGAGGTTTCCAGGGGAGCCAACCAATTGCTAAGGTATAGAAAAAAAGATATTTAAAGGGTTTTTAGGGTAAAAGTCGTAAACTAGACTTTAGAAGATGAAATTATAAGTCAATGATTAGCTGGATAGATTAGCTAGATAGATTAGCTAGATAGATTAGCTGATTAGCTAGATTGATTAGCTAGATAGATTAGCTAGATAGATTAGCTGACTAGCTAGATAGATTAGCTGACTGGCTAGATAGATTAGCTGATTAGCTAGATAGATTAGCTGATTAGCTAGATTGATTAGCTAGATAGATTAGCTGACTAGCTAGATAGATTAGCTGATTAGCTAGATAGATTAGCTGATTAGCTAGATTGATTAGCTAGATAGATTAGCTGACTAGCTAGATAGATTAGCTGACTGGCTAGATAGATTAGCTGATTAGCTAGATAGATTAGCTAGATAGATTAGCTGATTAGCTAGATTGATTAGCTGATTAGCTAGATAGAACTTTTAAACTCTAAAAATTGCAATGTTAAAGGTAAAACTTGAAACTCACTCATCTCGAACTCTTCTCAACGAATCCATTCGATCATTTCTCTTTCTTGTATCTTCTTTTCGATAATCGTCCATCAAATTCAAGTAAGAGACCTTGTCGTAGAGGTCATGATCAAGCTAAACTTGAAAAGATTAAAGTAGAATTGTTTGTTATATTGTTCACAGTTCTAGGTCCAGTTCTAGGTCCAGTTTTAGGTCCAGTTCTAGGTCCAGTTCTAGGTCCAGCTCAAGTTCTTCTCCTCAAGCTTCTCTCAATTTCCTACAGTTTTTACTTGCTAATCTTTCATTGATATTGCAAAAAGCTTTTCATTTTTACAAATATACAGAAAAACTGATAATTTGGAAAGAGTTAAAAAGAAAATATTCATATTTGAAAGCAACTTTCTGACAATGACATGACAAAACTGTATCCAAGCTCTCTTTTTGTGACATTATTCAAGTTAGTTAGTGGATTTAAACTTTCTAATACCTTAAGCATGACTACTACAGACCAAAATGTATGCCAAACCTCTCTTGGACTATCCATCCTCATTGATTCCTCAACAGTTCTTGTGTCTCTCCTTGTCACCTCGTCTTTACAACACTCCTCGGTTCGGTTTAAAAGCACACGCTTCTAAATACAAATCATGGAAAAGACTTTTCTAAAGCAAAATAAAAACGGAAGCTGGTTTTTTTGAGAGTCAAGCTTTCTGTTTACCACGTGCTTGGCTATGAATAGAAGTGAGAAAATGGGGGAAAGAGCGAGCAAAGAATGACTCTATAAGGGAAAAGATGTCGTTTGCTTCTTTCCAGTAAAAGCAAATACTTTTATTGCAGCTTTCAAAGTGACATATTGAAAGGATATTTGCCAGGAATGTGTCCAGGATTCTAATATTATAGTAAGGTTAGAGTCAGGCGGCAGAAGGTCATTAATCGGCCAGAAGTTAGATTTAAGTCTGATTCCAAGATCCAGATTGCAAAGCCTTCACTGATTGGAAAGATCTCTTTGTAGCAATCCTGCTGTTTCGTTATAATTGTAAAATAGCTATTACAAAGAAATGTGAAAGACTTAGACTTGTTATTTGTAAGTAAATTTGAAATTGTATTGATAAAAAACGATAATCGCATGAGTCAATGAACGGCCTAGACGGAACACTGAAAAAATGAGGAACCCACATTCTCTAAAAGCCCCCATTCATATCTTTTTTATAGAAAACCCAGAGTCAAGTAAGTCTAAGAGTCTAAAGAGTTCATAGGAGAAATCCCGAAAAAGGAATGACCAGTTGGACCCTTTACAGCTCTATAATGGCCCTCTCTCTTGAACGGAAGTTGAGCCCCACCTTGAATATATCTCCTTTATCCCTTCTCCATAGCCACCTATATCCATTCTACTTATTTAGTCGTATCGCGGAAGTGTGGAACATTCTAGAGATCATTATCAGTAATCATTCACCAACCAAAAAGGATTCTAGTTCCGTTTCAAAAAAAGTTGGCTATAGAAATGCTCTTGAGTTTAGTTTAGATTCGAAAACTGACTATGAGTCTCTAAAGAGCATTTAAATCCTCATTACTATTCTCTAGTATCATACATTTGACCAAGGATGTTTTAAACAGGTTCTAGAATTTCTTGGAAAGAGAATAAGTAATGTAATCTAGAAACATTATCAATTTCAATGAAAAGGCCATTGCTTACAGATCAATACCAAAATTAGTACAGATTTCATGAGAAATTCAAAAAAACTCTTTTCTTTTCCTTCTTTTCTCCTTTATTTTTCTTTTCTCCTTTCTTTTCTATCTTTTCTCTTTTCTTTCCCTCTTTTGTCTCTTCATTTCTATCATTTATCTCTTCGTTATCACTTATCTCTTCGTTTCTATCATTTATCTCTTCTGTCAATCATTTATCTCTTCATTTCTATCATTTATCAACTTTCTCTACATTCACTCGATTCACAAAAAGTTATGGAGTGCAGGGAAATCTCTATAAATCCCTTTCCCTAAAATGGGTCTCCTCCCAACCGAGCGGAAGCAATTCTCGCACCAGCTTTTCCTCCTTTCAACAACGATTTCCATCAAAAGAATCTAGTACACTTGCACGGGATTTAGAAAAAAAAACAGACACGAAAATAATACTTTGTATAGTTGGGGTGGATGACCGTGAAATGGGCACTGAAGTACAGGATTTCGACTAGGTTAGGGGGAAAATTGGTGAGAAAAATGATGAGTAGTTGAGAAGGAGTTGTAGGAACATGAGAATACAGACTAGGCAAAATGATGTGAGAATTTTTGAGGACAAATTCAACTCTAGTTTGACTCTAAAAAAGAAGATGTTGATACCGATATTACATTAAAAATAACCTATTTATCAATTGACGCTTTGCTTTATTATAAAGATGAGTTGTTTTTCTACAAAAGATTGTTGAAATATTATTAAAATATTCTGTCTCCGATTTTTTTCGTCGGGTGGTCAAAAAAAGGCGATAACAAAGATAAAGATACGATTCAAAGATACGATTTAGTCACTTTCCTCTACAGAAACCTATCTTGGTGTCAGATAAAAGATAAAGCATAAAACGTTTGGTATATAGCTAAATTTTCAAAACAATCTATTCATTCAGTTTCTTTTTAGGAGTTTTTATCAAAAAACTAGTTTTTGTACTTGAATTTACTTGGATTTAGGTTCAAATCGGCTTGATTAAAAAATGATTAAAAAATGAATGCTAAACATCTTCTATTTAAAGCAAACCATAAATTGGTGTCTTAGGCATTTTTATGTACAAAAAAGTGGTTCACCAAACGAATAAACAAGGTAGTAAGAGTTATTATTGTTATTCAATTTATTCAGTTCAAGTATTTAAGTGTAAATGTTGTTAAAGTTGAATTCAAAGTTCAAGTTGAATTCAAGTTCAAACGCTAAGCTATGCTTATAGCTGGTAAAAGCAAGTCTTACTTGATTCAAGTCATTTACTCACCTTGTAGTTGACAAATTTGTTATCCTTTTCTTGTCCAGACAAACAATTGAACACTCCATCAACTTCAGTGGTTAAACGACTCTTCGGTCCACCGCACTTCTCGCAATCAAACGTTCGCTCAGACGTTCTTTTCTGGAAAGTTTAGTCTAAAAAAGAGATATGGAAAGGTTTTTTGTTCCCAAAAATCCAGAAATAAGATATTTCTAAACTTGTTTTAATGTAAAGTTGAATTTCAAACGCTAAGCTATGCCAAAAGGCGTGCTTCTAGCTAGCAAAAGCAATTCTTACTTGATTCAAGTCATTTTCTCACCTTGTAGTTGACAAATTTGTTATTCTTTTCTTTAAAGAGAAATAATTGATCTTTCAAATGAAGAAAACTGTAGTTCAATTGATGCATTTGTTGATTTTAAACGAATGTACAAAAAGGAACGAAAAGACTTTCTAAAAAGTCTAATATTCTGCCTTACTCTTACTTTGACATCTTGATCTTTCCGAATGATCTTGTTCTGATCGACAATTCTTGGCAACTTCAGCAACTCCTCAACCACTTCATTTCCCGATGACTCGGCAACTTTCAGCATTTTCAATAGGAAATTAATACTAGCATACAGAAAAGTGAAAGACTGAATATAAAGGTGAAAGACTTTCAGTTACCCTGAAGGTTTATTTATCTATAAAATAAGTTTACAAAAAGGTAATAGGAAAAAAAAGTATCAAAGGACACAAAAAGTGGGGTTTTTTTTCTGGAGAGCTTTCTGGAGACTTTTTGAAGCTAAAAATGTTGCAAGAAAGGCATTTCTTCTGGTTGATTTCATTCAATTTATATGTTACACCCGAATTCGACAAACACTCAATCTGATCGGATTCAAACGTAAAATAAAAGTTGAATAAATTTCTTTTTAAACATTTCAAAACTAAAAAACAGTTTCATCGTGAAAAAAGGAAGAGAAAAAAAAATTTGTTTTAAAAAATTGTCCTTGCAAAAGTAGCTAGTTTTGTATCAGTTTTAAACTAAGCTCAATTTCGTAAAGCTCAACTCAATCTAATTCCCCAAAATACCCCAATTTTAAAGAGTTCTTCTTTTTCTTAAAAAGTTTCTTATTTTTTTTTTCTTCTCCTTTCATGTGTGGGAGTTCCATTTAAAGCTTTTCTTTTCTTTTCTTTTCTTTTCTTTTCTTTTCTCGTTTTTGCTTTCCTTGAACAACTCTCTTTTGTTAACCTTAAGGAAATCTCCGGCTTTTCTTTTCTGAATAATTGTTGGATGCAAAAAAAGCGATAAACCAAAATGTTAGAAAAAGTTTGAAAGATCTAAAAAACAAGATAGAACAAGATTTAGAAAATTTTCAATTTTGATTTAGAAACTTTAGCAAGTGAAAGGAGCAAAGGAGTTGAATAATTGCTGGATGCAAAAAAAAAGCGATAAACCTACCGTAACTGTAATAGTACCCCACCCCCATAATGACGGTGCGGAGTATCGCGTAGTCTAGGTTTGAACGAGTTTTTCTCGACACTAGTTTATGCTACAATGCGCGCTTAGGTATCAAAAAATAGCTGAAATTCAGGGCTATTTTTTGATACCAAAGATAATGACGGTGCGGAGTGTTGCGTAGTCTAGCTTTGAACGAATTTTTCTTGACATTGGTATATGCTACAATGCGCGCTTAGGTATCAAAAAATAGCCCTGAATTTCAGCTATTTTTTGATACAAAAGACGCATTTTTTGAAAGTACGGGCGCTTTGAAAAAAATGAAATACCAAAAAAACTTTTGCGACTACGCGACTGTACGAGGGGGGTAGGGTACTATTACAGTATTTACGGTAAGTACATTTGTAGCTTGATTCCAATCAAGATTCGAATCTCTTTCAAAAGATAAACTTTAAATACTTTTTAAAAAATAATTCTAAAACATTTTTTAGATAAAAACATTACGAAATGATACGTTGTAAGCGTGGAAGAAAACAAGAGAGAAACAAGAAAACAAGGTGAGCTGGGAAAATTGGTGTAGATGAGAGGGTGATTTGCTGGGGGTGAAAGTATATAGGTGAACTCCAAAGAAAAGCTCTTTCAGTAACACACCTTTATCGTATATATCGAATAAAAAAAAACACTAAATGGAAACAGAACTGAAAACACTAATAGATTTGTGCTTTTATAAAGTCAAACTTTTGGCAAATGTTTGCAAGTATTGGGTTGGGGAGAATGAGTCAGCGCCGAAATTTAAAGAAACTTTTTGCACCCATAAAACCTTCTTTAAATACACGTTTTGTTTCATCAAAATGGTCGACTATTTCTTTACAAAATGGCTTTTGAGAGATTCCACAAAGCTTTTCTTTTTTGGGATTTTATGGATTCCCAAACACAGCTAATCAAAATGACAAAAAGTCCGACTCATTGCTTGAACAGTTTCTTTCACATAAACCTCCTTTGGTGTTTATATAAAAAAGATAGAGCACACTCAATTACATAAGTTACCAAATTTTCAGGAAGATCCCTCCAACCGTTTACTCTAGATGACAGTTTGTAGTTTTTGTGAAAAAAATGTTTAGCTGGTTAAAATGGCAAAGAGTCCGACTCATCATTTGAACAGTTTCTTTCACATAAACCTTCTTTGGTGTTTATATAAAAAAGATAGAGCACATTGAATTACTTAAGTTGCCAAATTTGCAGGAAGATCCCACCAATGGTTTTTTCTAGATCACAGTTTGTAGTTTTTGTGAAAAAATGGCTTTTTCTTGAGCGGAGGCGCTGTTTGAATTTTCTTTTAAATGTCATTTTGTAGAGAATTAGTTAACCATTCTACTCATATCAAACGCATATCATTTGACAAAGTCTGCTATAAGTTTTAGAAATTTCTTTGTTTTTCGGCGCCGACTCATTCTCCCCAACCCAATAATTCATAAAGAATCCCTATTTTGAGGAAAGCCCAGAAAGTTATGACTTAAAGACTTAAAGGTAATAATTTTTCTTAAACTTAAAGAATCTTAAAGGTTTCTTTAAAAAACCTTAAAGTCCTTAAAGAACTTAAAGTTTTCGGCATTCCTTCTAAAAAGTGTAAAGAAGAGAAATCGAAAATGAGTATGCTAAAGAGATTGCGTTTCCATTTTAAGCAAAAGAACCAATAGAACCAACCAAGAAACCAATCGAGTCGTCTTTTTATATCTAACTGCCAGCACGCTAGAAAGCTTGTGTTTCTATTTCTATTTTTAAGCACAAAGAACAGTCTAGTGAAGCTATCAGTAAAGCAAAATAGTAAATTAAGTGCATCAGAAAGAGTGTGTTTCATTAGAAAGAGAATTTTCAAGCACAAAACGCAAATCTAATGATGATTTGTATACAAGTTTTTCTATTTGTTGTTTCTTTCTTTTTTAAAAAATAAATGCAAATTGCTAGGTCTATCGGAGATTTATTTGAAATCAATAAAGAAAATGAATGAAGGAAATCGATGAAGGAAATCAATGAAGGAAATAAATGTTTCTGAGCTTTCTGAGCAATCAAACTTTCATAGGTAGATACTCATCCTCTTCACCACCTCCACATTATCCATTGCTCTAGAATAACAAAGTATAATCATAAAATGTGATACTAATCTTGATAATCTTCTTTAATAATAAGTGATGGATGAGATTTTTGTGGTTAAATTACTTGCAAAATTCGTTAAACGAGATTTTCTCATCTTGATCACCGTCGGATTCAGAGATTGACAAGTCAAAGATTTGATCAATCTAGATCAAAAAATCATTTCATAAAGATTGATATAATTCGAAAATGATTTCAATGACTCACTCGATCAATCGGTATCTTTGTCCCAAGCACTTTTGCCAATGTCTTTCGAAAATCGTTCCTCGTGATATACCCATTCCCATCAACATCACAGATTTCAAAAGCAACTTGAAATAATTTAATTGTTACTGATATCTTTTCAAGACTCACATCTCATCTTTTGGATCTTTGCATTGACGAGTGTTCTCGAATGGTTGTCGATTGGGCGAAAAGTTGAGAGAACGTGCACGAATTGACGAAAAACCATTTTTGGCTCTTCACAGCCGCTGTAAAGTTACCATAAAGCTTAACGAATCATTCATGATACGATAACTTACCGTAAATACTGTAATTGGACCCCACGAGGTACTATTTTTTTCTCTCCCCGTCTAAGGTGGGGTATTATTAGAGGGAGGTACTACAGAAAGTTAAAAAACATCATTTTCAACTTAAAAAGGCATCAAGTCTTCGCAGAGTTGATCAATTTTTATTTTTTTGGTATCAAAATGATCTTTGCACACGTCCACACAAAAGTTATAGGTTTTGAGGGCGCAATCTTTCGACCACGCTGAGAACGAGCCACCGAAAGTTGATCGCGACGAGCGAGTTGATTGTAAAAGTGTGGTTTTTTCGATAAAAGGTGTTTTCAAAAAATCAAGTCAGACGGATTTCGAGAATTTCTTTACCATTCGATTTACCACAATTTTCTGCGTCAAATGAATATTCAAACGTGAAATTCTGATAGAGAGTGTGTTTTTTTTGCCTTATTTCGTGCGGATGTCTGGGGTACTATTAGAGGTCCAATTACAGTATTTACGGTAAGTAAATGAACGTAGGCTGGGTACTTATAAAAATGGATAATAAAAATATTTTTTACCACCTCCTATCAAATGTTTATCTTTTTGAATTATCTAAATAGAACTTTTATAAAACTAACGCATGAGTGAAAAGCGTGCCAACAATCCTTGCTCCAAGCGGGTTTAGTGTCAATTCAGAAATTGCAGTGAAATCTTCTGGCGTCAAATATCCTCGACCTAAGATCGTGTTGATGTCCTTGAACTGTTCAAGTTACAAACCCTTTTTGTCGATGTAACAAAAACGAACATAAAGATGTTTGAGTTGATCACGAGAGACTGAAAAAAACGATCATAAATCGAGCATGAGATTTCTTTGGTACAGAAAAGTTGTTGATTGTGAATGATCAGTTTGCTTCATTATTCATTAGTATTTTGCTATTTCATAAACTAGGTTTAACAATGACAAGCAGACTGGTTCATCGTCTTATCCTTTATAGAACTGGAAAAGACACACTGGCTCATTGTCTTATTCTTCATAGAACTGGAAAAGACCAGTCAAATTTGTGATGGGATTCAGACTCGAATCTTGATTTAGCTCAAAATCATTCTAAACTGAATATTTAACAACCTTTACCATCAACTAAACTATAATTTTGCATCAACTATTGCATAGAATTCAAATCCCACATCCAGTTTCTCTCATCAATCGCTCGATATCAGAGCTCATCAGATTTGTCCCATTCGAATGTGAATTCCCCATATCACAGGAAAAATATAAAAGAATCAAGAATTCAGGTTGATTTTGGAAAGCGACTTTCGAAATGATTTTACCCTGAGATTTTTCGGGAGGAAAATTGAGAAAAGAGTGAGGAGAAAAGTCGTAAAGTCCTTCGGTCAAAAAAGGAAAATCAAAAACAAGAGAAAACAAGAGAAAATTCTAAAGGAAAACGATCGTTTGAATGTTTAATTTTTGTTTTTGAAAGAGTTTGTTGGATTGATTGGCATGGAATGGGTGAGTCTCGAGATCAAGTACGGGAAATGACGTGCGCAGGGGTTTGGGGAAATGCGGGCACTGCACTTAGACTTAAAAACAAAAGTTGTTTCTATTAAAATGTGTCGAATTTTGAGAACGACTTTAATTAAAGCTGTATACTTTTGGTATCTTTTACAGAAAAGAATTTAAAGTCAGCTATTTATTATAGTGAACGATCTTTAGATAAAGGAATCATCTAATTGTAAGACTACCCAAAGTGACCGTTTTGGCATAAGATGCGACAAAATGACCAACACCAATCAATTCCTCGACCCTGAAAACCCCCGGATACAAATTTTTGGCTTCTCATCTGGGAGTCAAAAGAAGCAGAGCATCAGAGCAAAAGATTTCCCTGTGTGCGAGATGTTCTTTGTGCGGTCGTGTAATCGCCCGCGACCTGATATTAAAGGAATCCTTAAAGAGGAAGGAGTTGTGAGTAAACGAGCCATCTCCTCGCTGCTCTCGGCCCCAATTTCTGCCCCAAATTTGCGCAATTCCCCTCTACAAATTCCACACCCTGATGGCCCGGCAAAAAGTTTTTCGATATCCCGGAGTTGGAGAATATAGATGTAAAAAAGAGTCGAAATCGCTTTAAATTTGACACGAAATAGAAATGACTCATTTCTGCAAAAAACCCTCATCAAAAATTATAATACTACACCCACCGATGATTTGGTTCCAGTGAAAATCGGTTCCAATTCGAACCCCCTCTATCAAACCAAGATAAACTGAACTGATGAATGAGATCCGAAATGAAAATCGAACTCGAATTGATGAATTCAAGAAAGCAACTCCTTAAAGCCTTATTGGGAAAAGGAAAAACGTTGAATACCTTCAGTACACTATATCTTTAGTTTAAGATTCTGAGAAGAGTTGTTTTAAAAAGTTTTACTATACCTCGAAGCTAGAGAACATCTTGTAGATATGAAAAAAGCTTTGGGTTTTGCATATTTTTCAGCTCAGTTTCAGCTTTGCGTGCCTCGGTTGTTTTTGGCTTGGCAAAATGTCGAGTTTTTGGCAAAAATACAGCCAAATTTGGGGATTGATCAAAGGGTTTAAGCGTAGTGATCCTTTAAAAGGAAAGATTCAAGATATTCAGTTAATTTCGACCTAACCCGTTTCCTATTTCACACTATTCCTTGAGAGGACTACCCTCTAATCATTAGCGTTAATGAGCTATTGAGCAAAGATTTGGGTACAGAGAGTTTCCCTAAAACCTACGCACATACAAACTCGTATTGATTAATGAGTGAATCCCATTGATTCCTGTTCTTCTTTTTTTTCTTTCCTCTCCTCAATCTTCCTCAATGAGGTGTAATAAATCGGCCAGATGTGTGATCAAAAACACAAGATCAAAATCACAATTGCCCAATGGTTTTTTTCTAAAATTCTACTTATCAAATGAATCTTCTACTTATTCTATTTATTTTCTTTCTTTATTTAAGCTTTTTGGAAAGGTTTATTTGTTTGTTTTTGGCTTAAAAAATTTATTTTTTAGTCGAAAAAATGTGATTTTAATATTAACGGATGATCAAGATATTGAGCTTGGATCAATGGATTTTATGCCAAAAACAAGGAAATTATTACAGGTTTGTGAAAACAGCTTTCCCCTAACTCTAAAAATCTCTTCCAGCCTCATAAAACCTTCAAGTATTAATGGTAATCTATTTAAGGAAAAAGGTGTCGAGTTTAGCGGCGGCTTTGTCACGACTCCGATTTGTTGTCCAAGTATGTCGCTGATCATTTACACCATTGTTGCCAAGTATCAATGCTAATCTATTCTTCAATTGTTAGACTTGATATCGACACATAAATCAAGCCAGATTTGCCTAATTTCAGGCCGTTCCTCGATTCTCACCGGGCTCTATGTTCACAATCACAATGTACACACAAATAACAACAATTGCTCGGGTGCCATGTGGAGGTTTTTAAAAAGAATTTAGTTCTAGAAAAAAAAAGGAGAAATCTTTAGAAAACACTTTGAGCCACACACTTTCGGTGTTCATCTTAAAGAAAGCGGTTATAAAACAGCGTATTTTGGTGAGTAAACAATGTTACTTTAGCTATTATGTCCAGTTATGAATGCGCGTTTTTTACTATTTTGTAAATTTCTCAAGATACCGAAATCAAGAAAAAGATATATATGAGTATGATTCGAAAGCTGAAGATCTCCTCTACATTTTGATATAAAAAGTCTTTGAATTTGTTCAGCTTTTGGGCAACTTGACTGCACAGAAGAAGAGGTGGCCAAAAAATGGAAGGGTGCCTTTGGATCAAGTTTTGGCTCCGCTCAAATTGAGTTGGCCGTTTGATGTTTGGCCAATAGATATATCAACACAATTTTTTATTAAGATATAACAACTTCAGAGCATCTTTACTTTTCTGGGCGGTTATTTTACACCAACTTGCTCCCAAACGACATACGAGAAATTCAGTCGCTTTTCATATTCAAGAAACGTATCGATGCTTTAGATCTAGTGGCTCTTTGCCGTAAGTAATTGGCTTATTGATTTCAGTATGTATTGTATGATTAAGTATCACTGTGCATTTCTCTATGATTTCTTTCACTTTATCGTTTGAATAAAGTATTATTATTATAAAACTTGAGGAATAGCTCTAAGCTGAAATGGGTTTTTTCGAAAACGACCTCTCCCTTTGTGTAGTAAATTTCCCAAAAAGTTGAATGAATTCAAAAACTTTTTTATTTCAAAATGTAGAGGAGATCTTCAGCTTTCGAATGATATATCACACTCATATACATCTGTTCGATATCTTGAGAAATTTATAAAATAGTAAAAACGCGCATTCATAACTGGACAATCCAATAAAACAATGTTAGCAAGCAAGCAAGCAAGCAAGTAAACAATAACTTTCAAATATCACTCTAGGCAAATATCTGAACGAGTACAATGGTCAATATGTGCCTCCCGGTTGGTCACATTGGATGGGTCTTCTTCGAAATAGTCGCTTCTACAATTACACACTAAATGTCAATGGAAAGAAGCAAAAATTTGGGGCAAAATACGAAACGGTAAATTAAGGATAAAAGTTTTAATTCGTTTTCAAAGACTTTTCAAACATTTCGCCCTTGTACTTTCAAAAAAATGCGTCTTTTTGGTATCAAAAAATAGCCCTGAATTTCAGCTATTTTTTGATACCTAAGCGCGCATTGTAGCTTAAACAAGTATCGAGAAAACCGCGTTCAAAGTTAGACTACGCAACACTGCGCAACGTCATTATGAAGGTACTATTACTTTACTACTATGAAGGTACTATGAAGGTACTATTTACTATTACTCTAAATCAAAAGTGTTTCTTGGTCAATTTCCCATCTTTTTAAATCAATTTCGATTCACTTTCAAGCAGAAAAATAATTGGCTTTTCTAATGAAAGAAATCGTAGTTTAATTAGTGCATTTGTTGGTTTTAAAAGTACGAAAAGAAACGAAAAGGCTTTCTAGATAACTGGTAGATAACTAATACCTCGTAAAGTACTTGATAAGATAACCTTATAAAATAATATAACCTAATATAACCTAATATAACCTAATATAATAATATAAAATAATATAACCTTAAAAACGTTTCAGGATTATCTATCGGATGTGATTACAAATGCTTCTCTCGATTGGATCTCCACCCATCTCTTCTACACTCCAGAGCAACCATTTCTCGTCGTTTTATCCTATCCGGCTCCACACGGTCCAGAAGATCCAGCTCCACAATACAGCAATCTCTTTCCAGAAATCTTTACTCATCGGTAAAGAATTTTACTTGAAAGAATGGAAACATACAATCTGTGCACAAGAATAAATTCTTTTGAAAAGCACAATTAAATTTAGAACCGAGTCCTGGAATTATGCTCCAAACCCCGACAAACAGTGGATTCTACAACACACAGGGAAAATGGAACCGGTAATTGATTGAAGACTTTAAAAGCTGACTCTAGGTCAGCATTTAGGTTCACGTTGCTTTCACCGATATTCTCCATCGCCGACGAATTCAAACACTTCAAAGTGTTGATGACTCTGTGCACAAGGTATTATACATTAGCCTTTTATAGAAAACGAGAGTCAATTCCACATTTTAACAAACAGCTCTCGTTTTCTAAAGCTCAAACTAGAATTGTATCTAATCTTTAGAAAAAAAACTGACTCGTTTTCTACAAAAAGCCCGTCTATTAGGAATTCTTCTTCTTAAGTAAATGGATTTTAGATCCTAACCACTCTGCGCGATGAGAATCAATTGGCGAATAGTTATGTGATTTATACATCCGATCATGGCTATCATTTGGGACAATTCGGATTGATCAAGGTTTTTGATAAACAAAGATGATTTTTATAAAGATGTCAAATATTTTAGGGAAAGAATATGCCCTACGAATTCGATATTCGAGTGCCTTTCTTGATGCGAGGACCTGGTTTGCCGAAGAATTTGACGTAAGTTGTTTAAAATAAACTCTTTTGCTGAGAATACCTGATTGCTCATTTGCTCACTTTCTGGTAATCCACAATCCAGAATCCGCAAACCAGTCGCCAACATCGACATCGCGCCCACAATTCTGCATATGGCTGAATTAGAAATTCCTGATTCAATGGACGGTCGATCATTATTAGATCTAATAGCTCTTGAGAAAAGTTTCTTTTATTTTTAGTCTAAAATTTTCTCTTAATAGATGAGAAGAAAGCTGAAATGGTGGCACCCTGGCGTGACACTCTGCTCATCGAAAGAGGGTAAGTTAACTCAGAAATCATTTGAACTCTGATCATAAGCCTAACAGTTAGATGTTAAGTCGTTTTTAGAAAGATGCCTAAACTGAAACAAGTGCGGGATCGGTGGATGCGTCAGAAAGCCAAATACAGCAAAGAGGCGAGATTAGCAAAAGAATGTTTGACTGGGAAATGGAGTGCTCCGTGCAGTCAGAGTCAAGTGAGACATTGTAAAAAGCTTGTTGTTTGCATATTGTAGCTTTCTTTTAACTTTCCCCTACTTTCAGCTCTGGAAATGCTATATCGCGGAAGATGGACGTTGGCGAATCTATAAATGTCATCATCGGAAGAGAAATGGTTGTGATTGCAAAGTGAGAAAGAAGAGAGAGGAGAATCAGGTATTATATTATAATCTAAAAAGTGTTCATAAAAAAAAAAGTATTTTCAGGAAACACTCATTGATCAATTTTTGTTTGAAATTTATGTGGAAGAGATGAAAAATTCCTCAAATTGGCACCAAGGGGTTTTTGATTTCGAAAAGGATTCTCAGAAACGAATGAAACGAGAAAAAATGTCTATCTGTGATTGTGAAGGAAATTTCACAAGTATCGATCATCCATTGTTAGTTTTTTTCAAATCATTGGGAAAACTTTAGAGTTCCAAATCATTGGGGAAAACTTTAGAAAAGATATGGAAAAATTTGAAAACGAGCTCGAGAATGATTTAATTGCGTATAGAAGAGCAAAGAAACAATTCAAGAAGTGAGTTTGCTTTCAAAAAATCGATTCAAATAGAACTTTCTGGTTCGTCAGTTATAGTAATACCTGAACAATTTGGTTTCTATATAAGTATTACAGTAATTTAAAAGGTTTAAACTTTAGCGGTCCTCATTCGTGCTCATTGCCACAAATGAACTGTTTCACTCACGGTGCTTCCCATTGGAGAACCCCTCCTTTATGGCCTGAAGAGTTCGGCGAGTTCTGCTTTTGTCAAAACTCAAACAAGTATCAATCATATTAAATCATTAGAATCTCAACACTTTCAGCAATACTTACTGGTGTCTTCGCACGTTGAACTCGACTCACAATTTCCTCTATTGCGAATTCGTGACTGAATTCATTTCGTATTATGATCTGAATACCGATCCATTCCAAGTAAGAATCATTTTGTACAAGAATTTATCTCAAGCTTAGTTAACAAATGTTGTCTATTCACTGGACATGTCCACCCTCGAGAGCTTGAGCTTACAATTGCGACTTTTACGAAAATGCCGCGGAAGAAAGGAGTGTGAAAGAGCTTCTAGTTCGCATTGGACAGATTTGCTAATAAAGATTTGACTCAACTTTAACTTCCAATGACCCAATCAAGATACAATATTCGAATATTGCGACTGGCTCATGACTAAAGCAAGACTTTGACCTATTTTCGGACCAACAAGAAAACGGGTACAGTCGAACTTTGATATAACGAACTTCAAGAGACCGGTCAAAAAGTTCGTTATATCGAAGGTCATTTTAAGGTAAAACCCTTCGTTGGGACCAAAAATAGTGTTCATTACAAAGGACGTTTCGTTGTATCGAAGTTCGACCGTAGTTCAATTCCAAAACTTTATTGAGACTAACAACAAAAAAAACAGATTCAACGCAATAACAACAGTGTACCAAGTAAATTCTATCAAATTGTGAAATTGTAATTAGATAAGAGAATTCGATAAACCACGCTCGTCCAGACAGCCCTTGGCTCCCAGTCGTAAATTTGAAGCAAACTAAAGAGAGTAAACCTCAATACGGCTTTAAAAAGAAATTCTAACTTATAACGAAATTTTGAATGAAAAACCTACGTATATAGATGTGGCTTGTATTTAATTTGAAGATATTGATAATCATCACCGAAAACTTTTGTCAACACATGAGCAACCTAAATATAAAAGTGTAATTTTGAGGATAATTTATATTTTTTTAACTGTTTAGAAAAACCTGTTTTTAAACTGACTATAAAAAAATCTCAATAATGTCTAAAAAATGGAATTTCTAACTTTTACCTTAAATGGCTCGGCGTCTAATTCCTTCAAAAAAGTCAGCATTCGTCCAAAATCTTGTGTGGCCTGCGTGTGCTTTGGTGGTTCCGTGTTGAAACACTTCGTGGTCTGAATACAAAGTTATAACGATCAACTAATTAAGTTGGAGATTTCATAAACTTGCCTACCTTGTTAAACACCCGCACCATGAAAGCACGGTTCTCAAATCTCCTAATTGCGATTTGATCCACGAATGGCATTTGCGAGAGTTCACCGTTGAAGAAAGCTAAAAAAATTCAGGTCTTTACCTTACTCAATGAACCAAATTATAAAACTAACTAAAAACTTACATTCAATGACGGAGGCTTTTGCGGCAATCAGTAACTCTAGGCATTTCTCCTTACACCCTTGAAACTCATCGGGTATTTTCATCCAATCCTAAAAATCTGATGACCACTTGCAAAAAGTAAACCTACGTCTCGACACGCCTTCCAAGTGACGTAATCTTGTTGCAACTCACTCTAAACAAAAAATGAACAACACGTTTGTAAAAAAGATTTTGATAATACAATCCAAAACAACTTACAATTTGGGCTGGTTTTAAGAATTGGTGCATGACAAGTTGGGCATTCTGGAATGAAAAAAATTATCTTTGTGATATAAAGAAGCAAACCAAATAAATCATCCAAGAGCCCCGCGTGATCGAACGCTTGTTTTGGAGTTCACGTAACAGCTCGAGCGTCAATGGATGCTTCCTTTCCTAAAGAAGAATTATTTCGTTTAATTGTTATAACAGATATTCAATCTCCTGCATTCGGCATAGATATTACAAACCTTATACATTGCTGCTTCTTGCTCGCAGCCTTCGTCCAAATCGTCGACTTCTTGGGTAATCTTCGCGATCTCATCGTATCGGAGACGATCATCATATGAAGGTAAAACGTTTGCCGTCTCGGACGAATGCCTAAACAAAACTCATAATGTATTGTTTCAAGTATGCCTCATGTTCTCGAATTCATCCTGTTAAACCTTTATCTCTACTACATTCACCAAAAACGTTTACCTGCGATAGAACATAAATTCGAAGTTGTTCACGTCTTTGTCGTCTTCCTTGTACATTGGCACAAGGTTTTGGTCGAAAAATTCTTGAAAGCTCTTTCCTTCCTCCACTTTAAAGAGCCGCTTCCAACTATCGGAAAGCAACTGAAAGAACATTTTAAGATAGAGCTTAAATGAATAGAATTACCGTATACAATAGATGACCTCCTTCCAGCCTCGCGTCTTTCATCGGTTCGACTTCGCTCTTGCAGAAGATCTGATGCCTAAAGAATTGTTATATGAAACGTTACATTTTTCTTAATCCAGCTTAGTTTAGTTACTCCTTCTAATCAATTTAATCCAAACTTACCAAGTATCATATTCTGTGTGAAAGCGCTTCACCGACACTTCATCGAGAGGCAACGCAGCGAGGTTTTGAAATGCTTCCTAAAGTATTCATAATAAAAAGAGTTGACATTTTAAACCAAACACATGTCCATTTACCTCATAGAATTGTCAATAGACAATAAACTTTTTACTTATAAATGAGCAAAAGAGAACATACTTGAACGAGCCGCGACGGTTGAGTCGTGTGGATGACGAAGATCATCTGGTTCTTCTCCTTTACAACCGCCAATCGAATCGAACTGAGCGGCATGTCGATAACTAAATCAAGAATATATTAAAAGAATGGGGAAAAATTAAAGACAAGTACAAAGTAGGACGTGAAATACAGCTAAACTATTACAGAGAAATATCTAGCAAGCTTTTAATTTCATTAGATGGTATTTTAAATATGTATCTAGAATAGAGATGTCTCAATTGTTTTGTTTCTGCAAAAAGCAACATCGGATCAAAATTTATGCTTGCATTCAGCAAAACTTGCGTTACTCCTCGGGGCTACTTTGCGCCAAATTTTTTGCACAACTCGTCATAACTTTCTTCTAAGTGAGCTAATCTTTGTGATTTTGGTCCACTTAGAAGAAAGTTATGGCGAGTTGCGCAAATGAACCTGTTGGGCGAAGAAATTTGCGGAAACTAGCTTACCCCCCAGTTTTTACATTGGAAGAGAATTCCGCACCAAATCAGTTAAACGGCTGAGTATCTTTTAAAAGTGTCATATATAATGCCGGGGCTCGTCATTTTTGCGTCATTCTTTTGCAATAATTTCTGCTAACCTGCCAATCCTTCAAACCTACAACCACGGGAAAATTTAGGAATTCAGCCCACGTCACTTTAAACAGTTTCGGTACTTTCCACATTTTAGGAAACACAACAATTTCAATGAGAATGCCACAAAGGAGATTTCCGATAGCATTCAAGAGTTAATCGAGGAAACTTTCGTTGACCTGTAAGTGAAATTAAGCTTGATTTACAGTGACAATTTATGTATGGAGAACGTTATAAAGCGGGATTCCTGTATTCAGTTATTGTAAAGAACTCACCAGAGTTCAAACGGGAGAAAGAATATTGAGAACTTGGAGGCAAAGACCGGTATAGAGATTAGATTCTCCGGTAAGCAGGGCTGGAAATGGGTTTAGATTAAAAAACAATACAATAACATATTTGTAGCTGCCGTGATCCTTTTACCTGAAAAAAGATATTGAACATTAGCCACTAAAAATTCTAATTCCAATCCACGGGAGTGGGACAAATGCGACCTTTTTTTTGCGCACCCGGACATTTGCGCACCTTTTTTTCCGCACTTAGCCCATTAGCGCACCTTTTTTCGCGTTTTAAAAAAGCTCTAAAAGCTAATATTAACCAATTTCTATTCCAAAAGTTGTTTTTCTAGGTAATTTGAGGGTGTCGAATTCAAATTTTAACATAACAGAGCTTGTGGAAGCGAACGGACGGAGTTATACAAAGAGAAAAATCAACAATTTTCTGTAATTTGACCTAGCCGTTTTTTTCAAATTGGTTCCACACGCTCTGTTATGTTAAAATTTGAATTCGACACCCTCAAATTACCTAGAAAAATGACTTTTGGAATAGAAATTGGTTAATATTAGCTTTTAGAGCTTTTTTAAAACGCGAAAAAAGGTGCGCTAATGGGCTAAGTGCGCAAAAAAAGGTCACATTTGTCCCACTCCCCAGATCCACATGGACTCTCGGGAACAATGAGAACCGCGGAAAGTTCGAGTTCCTGAAATATGTATTGAGGAAAAGATTTGTACTTCTATACCTTCAAGATTTTGATGTATTGAGAGAACATTGATTGAAAGTTGTTCCATTCACTATGCGGATCTGTTTGTCGAGGATCTACACATGTGAGATATAGTTTTTGGTTAAATGTTTTCTGTGATCAACTTACTCCAATCAAGGATACAAATAAGATTGTCCAAGTTGGGGATCACGGGGCATTGGCAGACTCCATTCGGATTCGGGATTAGAATCTTCGGAGTTGGGGGAACAGCCCAAGCCCCCACAATGGAGTAGCCAAAAGGAGAAAGAAAAAGGTGGATTTGGATGAGAACATCTGATCTGAATGGAATTTAGATCAAAAACTTTGGTACTTACTTATTGCTAGGTTTCCACTTTACCTCAAGAGTCGGATAAGTTTAGAAGAGCTGATTGGTGGTGTCGTTTAGCTTTAACTTACCGATCTATAGTTCTCTTTCATCGTTCTAAAAAAATACCAAAAAAGCACATTGTTTATGCCATATTTAAAATATAGAAAGTTGATCATCGTAACGTGTATTTTGCAAGAAATCCCCCAGTCTGTTCGCAAATTTTTACGCCGTTTCATTAATGGGAACAAAAGAAGACAAAAGTCTATGTTTTAATGCTTTCAGGAACTGATCACAATTTGTTGATTTACACAAATATTGTTAAATCTAAATGTATCGATAGGCAAAGTGAAAGGCCAACACGGCGTTATTCGTCCCTGTTCTCGGTTGTTTCAAAGCACGAAGCATTGAAACAATCGTTTGGCCTGAATTTAAGTTCAACCACAAAAAACACAACGACAGGTTTAAACAACCATAAATAAGTATTCTGATTTGTGATTTACAGATTTTGAAGAGTAAAAGCTTCCTTCTGGTTGCTTTTAAAGCTTTTAAAGTAAGCCTTTAAGATTTTTAAAGCAATTGAATTGTGTACAAATGCAGAGATTGCAGACGATAAATAAAATCTTTGTTTTATAAACATTCTTCACAAAATAACTCAAATTTTCTGTGATAGATTTGTGACAGAAGACGGTCGTCTTTGGGAGTTCGCCGCTGTACTTGCTAGATAGGTGGATGAGGCTGTTGGTTCGATTCTAAAAATGTAAAGAAAAATTGACGATTGATTTAGTTGAACTTACTATTAGCTTTCAAAGCTAAGATTAAAATTAGTATTATCGCTGGAGCTATAGAATGATTTTGAAATTGGGGTCTATTTTCATTGCCTTCTTCCCACATAGGCTATTTTCTGCTAGAACGTCATGAGAAAAGAAATAAAGTAACAACTTTGTGCACTTTCACAAAGCACAACTACAAAATTAGTATTATCGCAAAACAAAGCTTTCATTCATTTAGCTCACCTTCGTAATTGTGGGAATAAAAAGCCGAGACCAAGTCGACGCAGAATATCCACCGCTGCACGACGGTAATCAGCTGAAAATCTTAGTTTGATTGAAATTTTGGATTGATTGTTTACCGATGAAATACATTAAAACAAGAGGATCGAAGAACGGTGGAATGGTCAGAAAATAATGATAGACTAAGCCGAAACGACCCATTCCAAAGCCGATAACCGGACCGACAAAAAGCGCCATAAGTGGACAATAGATAGCACCCAGTGGAACAGTGGTCTAGAGTTCTTAGAAGTAAGGAATTCTTTTAACGAATTGAATTTATAAGCTAATTTCTTTATGATTTTCCCTCAAAGTACTATACCAAGATGACCAATGAGACAAAGAGTTGCTTTTGCAAGCGTTTCGTTTTCGCGCTCGCCACTACATTTACCATTCCGTGATACGTTTTATAGCCACAGATGCACATCTGAAAACGCATTTTTTGAAGTTTTGCTTAATTTTCTACCATTAGTAGTGCCGAACTTGTCATTGTTGAGACGACCACCATCCCGAAGCAATCTTTCGCTTGGAGTTCGAGGTCTTTCCCTCGATGCACCTATACTGATTACTGATTGAAATAATATTATATGTTTTTGTAAATATCTATTCAGAGATTCATCAAAATTACCCAATATTGTGGCCCCACATAGCCCTTATTCTCCATGTTTATATCGAAAGCCTTCAAGACATCAGGTATCAACAATCGTTCCTTTTCAAGTGATGGTCCCAAAAAAGTTATACAAGCCAACATCCACACAGTTAGACCTAGGATTTCTCATTGATCTTATGTTCATTAAAAGTTTACATAGTAACATGTAGCCAAGCCAGATAAGTTGATAGTAGCCTGTGAGAAGGTAGCCACGGCGGAAACTAAACTTGTGAGATAAAATTCGCTCCAAAGACTGGAGATAAGCTTTTGAATTGGTTTTCACTACTATAGAAATTATAGGGTTTTTATAAGTTTACTGGCAAATCTGAATGTATCGATAGGCAAAGTGAACGGCCAACACGGCGTTGTTCGTTCCAAAGCACGAAGCATTGAAACAACCGAGAATCGTTTGCCCTGAACTTTTAGATTTAAGTCCCAGTTACCGTAAAACTAACCGTGTTTCCCGAAAAATCTCAATAAATATCCAGTCGGCATCAAGATAAAGTAATAATCACTAGCAAAGAGGATCTAAAAGCTTTTCACATAAAGGAGATTTCAACTTAAACCGGTAGTGTCACGCTCTGCATCGTCGAATAAACAATGTTGAATATGGTAAGAAATTTCAAAATTCGTTTATAAATGCCAAAATCATGTTTTGTTTTGAAAGTGATAAAATAGAAGAGGAGACCATTTAGAGAGATCGTCAAAAGAGTGCTCAACCAAGCCACCGGTTCGTGCAATCTGGAAGTGAACGGTAGTTTTCTGGGACTGAGTATACGGTAGCTTTGACATGCCAAGAAAAAAATCCTACCTGTGAAGTAAATTCCAGACGTCCATTTAAAAAGCAACTCGAAAGAAATAAATATTTCTTATTTAGATCTGCGAATGATCACCACAAAATACTTAAGACAGGTGAAAATAAAAATAAGTGAACTCGGTCTACTTCCTTTCTCCGAAACTTTCGGATAAAAATAAGCGCACATAGACCGCTTTTTTCAGCTATGATTGAAACTGAATGAATTGTGCCCTAAAAACTGTTTCAAACAAACTAAAAACAAAATAAAATTGCTTGCTTGTCCAAACTCTCACGCTAATTCTTTCAACCGGACTTTTCACAAAGACTTTTAGACTTTTATACCCGCACCTTTGCGGGTATAAAAGTCGTCTGGAAGCCAAAATTCTCAAGCCCTGAAATATTTCTACATTTCCTTTATATACGACATTTGTCTTTTTAGTATGAAACAAAACGTGTTTATTTAAACAGAAAATAATTTAAAAATCTCTCGTACAACAAACATCACAAAAAAAGGACATCAACAACAAAATAGCTATTCAAATAACCAAAAAATGAAACTTTACGAATCTAAATTCGGCTTCTTGGTGAGGAACTTCTCTTTAATTGATGCAAATGCTTTTTTGAAGAAACCCTAAACAATCATATTTTTAAAATTAACTGCGCGTTTCAACTAAATACGTAAATTCTTAACAAAAAAAACTGTAAAAGCCCACTTTCTTTTCGCTCACTTCCTCGTTTCTCTCAAATGGCTGCACTCCAGCTGCAAAAGCAGAGATATCGGGCAGACTGCCAGACTAAATTTAAAGTTTAAACAGTTTTTAACTATTCTGAGCTTAATGCAAAGTTATCATTTTTCTGACCTCGATCAAATTTCCAGTGACACTAGATCGATATTGTATCACCGGCGTGCCGGAAATAATCGACGTCGATGAGCCCTAAATATCAATCGTTAGAATATTAAGTAATTATTTCGAATTACCCTTGCAAGTTTTGGCGTTTCAACTACATCGGATAGTACTTTTCCTTTCGGCGTTTCCGGGGTCGCTGTTGGTTGAGTGTCGATCGTGAACATTTCCTAAAAATGAAGCTGTGCTATTTTGGACAATCGCAAAGCTATTGCGTACGCAATGGCACTTAAACCCCACCCAATGCAATTTCCCAAAAACCTACGCTAATTGACTCGTCCTCATTTTTCTCATCACCAATTGATTGAATCGATCGAACCTCGTCGGCGTCTCCGTTTACACGATCAACATCCATGTCGACCTCTTCTAAAATGCTTTCTTAGAGGTAATCCAAAATCAAGCAAAATAGACAAATTACCTTTAACTCGAAGCTGTTCAGTGCGAGAAGACTTTACCGGAACCTGCTTTGCCTTTTCACGTTTCGCTTCTTTGAAGAGGCGGTTTTGCTAAACCCAATATACAACTAAAAGCGCCCGTTAAACTGACCTCCTCTTGCAACATTTCGATGAAGATATCGAATGGAGGGATGTTGAAGTTTTTCTCTCGCTTAACGTTGAATTAAATCAGCAAAAAAGTTCTAACTTACATCTCTCATGTATTTGTATGTGTTGTTGAAACCCATATAATAATGCACTTTTTTTGGTCGACTTTTGGTGGATCGGCTCCTTTTCTTGTTGTAGGAATAATCTTGGCAGCCATCGAAGGGGGCGCATCCATAATGAACGATAAGGTCTAAAAAAAAGTTATTTTTGCTAAAATTTATTAATATATTAATAATTTAATAATTTACTGCTTGAGGCAAATTAGTGAACAAGCTGAAAATATTTTTGTTCCTTATTCGCCACGTTCAAAAGACTATTATGCTTCAAAAAGATTGCATACCTCTCCGTCTTCACTTTTCACCAAAGCTTTCTTCAAATAGCCAGGTGGATACCCATTCACAAAACCCATCTTACGCATTCGATAGATGTGCTCGGGCAAATCGTCTCGACCTAAACAGCACCGATTGTTTTCGGCAAAGGAATATGGTTTAATTGTCTCATTGGGAAGCCCTAAAAAAAATTTTCTTTACATAATTTAAATGATAAAATCAGAATTGGCACATAGAGCATAGCAAATTGTTAGTTGCAAAGCCTACCCAGACCCATAGCCTTGCGTAGAGCATCTGAAATTCGGCCAGGTCGAAATTTATCGCTTGTCGTTGCCTCTTCCGTGTGATAACGATCAGGGCTAAATAAAACTTCAAGTTATTTATCAAAAATAACCAACGTTTCATTCTTTTGCTTCATCTCTTGGAACGATCTTCGGGCCTCGGCAATCTTCTTTCCATTTCTTTTTTCGGGACACGCTTGTAAGTTGTGATCACCATCACAGTTCCAGCATTGAATCTAAAACATTGTTAATAGTCGAATGAAAAATGGTTCGTACAGATGGGCGCTTGCGATTTGACTTCGAAGCTGATTCCGTATCATTGGCAGCAATCGGAGTCAGGATCTTCTTCAGCAAGCTTTCGCGCCAAGCGGATCTAAACAGTTTCTTTTAATCACTAAATAAAAATATTGGAACATTACTCTTTTCTTCCGCTTTTAAATACAAGAAAGACTGCAAAATATAGATGAGGCTAAAGGTAAACAAACTAACGCAATCTCTCCTGGTTCCTCTTCTTCGCCGACATCAATTGAGGTGGTTGTTGTTTCAACGCGATCCAAGACGAAATCCCCGTACTCCTCGCACACTCCTCCATCAGCTTCATTTTTTGCCTTCTTTGCTTTGACTTGTGTCCTCTTTGTGGTGATTACATCTAAAAGAAAGTATTTGATTAAGTATTATCTCCAATAAAACTGCTACTCATTACTAAAGGTTGCTTACTCTTTGGCGTTTCCACAATTTCCGTCCTTTGCTCGAAATGAATATCGATAACCTCTAAAAAAGAAAGTCCATTGATCAAAGTTAAAAGCCAACCATCTGAAATCTTCTCGGGCGCCGGTCGTTTGCGAGACTTCTTTATCAAGAGCTTATTCTTCTCTGAAACAAAGTATACTCCGCTAAAAAAGATGATTCTAACTTGCAGGCGATGGAGTTTCTTCCAAAGCTCCATCACTATCGCTCCGCATTTCATCGTCGTCGATTGTTATAACCTTTTCTTCTAAAAAGAAACAATAAATATAGAAGCTAATTGAATTTTCTGCTTTGTTACCATAAAACATACCTGATTTCTCATCATCGCTACTCAAGATGATCTCGCCTTCCTCATTTTCATCAGCATCTAAAAAGAAACAAGTTAATTTGCTTTTAACCTTCAATTTTATGATCTCGAAACCTAGTTTTATTCCTTTAAAAACATCCACCTCTTTTTTGAAAACAAAACTAAACATATAACACTATAAAAAGTACCGTCATCTAACGAAATCACATTGTCGTTTTTGCTTTTAGACATCCTCGAAAAGTTAGCAAGCGATACGCTGTTCTAGCAAGATTTTAGAACAAACTTAAGCGTTCAAATAGAATAAGTAGTAGCTTGCTGAATCAAATCGGGTCAATTTCGAAGTCCAGTCCAAACTACACCCAATTACGTCTTTTTAGGCACAAGTTCAAATTAGCCAGAAAATAGAGGATGTTTTCAAAGTTATAGTTAAAAATCAAACCATTACCTGGTACAACATTTGCCAGGCTTTCTGCTTTCACCGACTCGGTCATCTTTCGTCGAACTCGCATTACTAAATTTAAAAAAATTTATAGATTATTGAAAAAAGCAAACAGAGATAAAAGGTATCAAAAGCGTAAAATGCCTAGATAGGTCCACTTCCAACTAAAGTGAGTTGGAAAAACAAAATAAAGTTTCTTATTGATGTTATATAATAACGTAGTTGCTTAAAGATATTCAGGCAAGTTTTGTAGTAGGTGTTAGGTACTTGTAGCAGCGCAATTTCAACAGAATCTTCATTTAAGCTTTCCAAATTTCCCAATTCTTGACAGGCTTTTGTGATTCTTTAACCTTTTTCATTACTTTTTTCGAAATGTTGCATTCATTTTATCATTTCAGCAATGACGTCGAGTCGCCAATTTTCGGTGGAGAGCGACTACATGTCATTGGATGCAATTCTCGCAGCTGGGTCGACTGTTCCAATGCAATTGAACGAGAATGCACCACCCGGTAAGTTTTTTTACGTGTAGACTTCTAATAGTTCTTTTTAAAGGCTTATATTGATTATTAGGTACTATTAAAGTTAGGGGACCCCACTTTTTTGAAATGTTTTGCTATCCTTATGTTTTCAAGTACGTTGAGCACGAACATCACATTTTTAAGCTCGGTTTTCAATAAATAATTCGCGTAAAAAAGGCGTGAGATTTGCATTTAAAACGCCAAAACCCCTTAAAATGACACAATTTTCGAAAAGTCGAATTTTTTTTGTAAAACGTGCTTCAAAATGTGATATTTGTGCTCAGCGTACTTGAAAACCTAAGAATAGCAGAAAATTTCGGAAAAAAAGTGGGGTCCCCCAACTTTACTAGTGCCGATTATTAGTTTGAACTAATTGAACTAGTAGATTCTTTAATTATAGACCTTTAATACATTTTTTTAGGAATCTTTCCACTCATTGGTCACGCGGCACCACCATCGATCGGCCCACGAGGAATTCGAGTCGACATCCCGCTTTGGCTTGCATCAAGTGTGAAAGATGGGCATTACGGCATGGTTAGTTGTTTTAAATGTTACATTAGAGAGTGAAAATCGTTTATGGCTTCAAAGTGTATATTTTTAGGCGATGTATCCGACCGGTTACAACATAAAGTATCAGAATGTGCTCCAAGCAAATGCCGACACAATGTCACTTGACCAACTACATCACTATTACTACAGTGTGTTTTACTACAATGAATTTTACTTGGGTTTACAACAATTTATTCATTCAATTTTTTAGCTTTTGGACAATCACTATGTCGAATAATATCCCTGGATTTGGCCTCTCCACTTTCGAAATCGCTTTTGAGTACGTGGATACAAAGATGTGGGATTTTCTTTTCACGATCATTGCAGGTTTGGTTCACTTTAAACAATATTTGCAAGAACCTTGTTAATAAAGAGTTTATTTTACCACTTTTATTATATTTCCTTTATTTAGGGACAAACGAGAATTGACGGCGCCACAAAAGAAGAGCTAGCGGTTTTTATGATTGGAGTTAAAACAAAAGAGGATTTTGATAGGTAATCAGTTGAATATACGATAGGTTTTTCTGAAACATGCAATTTGAAGAAATTTTATCATTTTTGTTTCAGGTGGCTACGGGCTGAGAAAAGACAAGGTTCGAATAAGCGAAAGTTGGCGCCATATAACCGATAGGTTTTGCAATAGGTTTATTAGATTTATTGATCTCATTTTTAACCGGTTTGTTTGATTTTGTGTGTATTTTGTGAGGTTTCGATATTGCTTGAGAGTAAATGTACAAATCTTCGAAATTGCTTTTTGAAAGGTTTATTTTACCAGTAAGAATCCCCGAAACAGAAAAGGATATTCGTTCAATCACAGGTTTTGGAAAGATATTCAAGCTAATTAAAAGTTGTAAAAAAGCTAAAGCCATAGCAACGATAGACTCGACATTAATCTGTTTTTAACTTCAACGAATTCTCATCTCATGGTAGCGAACAACGCTCATTTGGTGGTGAAGTGGAGACAAAATTGTCGTAGGAATCAGGTGGGACAGAGATTGAACGGTCCATTCCAGTAACGTTATCAACTGAGAGTGGGATTTGTGTTTTTGCAAAGACTGCCGAACCTGCAGGTGACGGACGAAGACTGACTGGAGAATCTGGGTTTGAATCCAACATTTGTTCAGCACTAAAACGGTGGTTCTTTTTTGCAAGGATTGTGAGCAATTTCTTTACCTGGACCAGTTTTCAACCCGTCCTCTCTCGGATTCGGGCAACTCCACAAAACTGAAGATGTTCGCTTTTTCCACGCTTTCATCGATTGGGCTTTCTTCAATGCTCTGAAAAGGCAGACTCATTATAATTTAAGTCAAATTATTTCGGAGCCATAGAAAGTTAAGGTACAAAAGTCTACGTAGTATGAACTTAATTGTTTACCTCTAATTTGAGATACAGCTCATTCACATGGGATTCCAACTCTCGACAAACCAATTGCAAGGAGATGAACTTTTGCTCGGCGGCGTCAGCCTGAAGATATAATAGACTATATAAAAAGATTTTAAATCTTGTTACTAGTATTCGTATGCTTCTAATTAAAGATTCTTAGTTGATTAGTGTTCCGGGATACTATAGCGAGACAAGAGACTGGAGCTTTACAGTACTTCATGCTTCACTTTCAGTTACCTGCTCATTTATTTGTCGTGCCGCTCTTCGCAATTTCTCGTGAAGCATCTCGAGCTCTCTTTTCTGCCTGAATAGCTTTAGATTTACAAAAGTACGGTATTTTTTAGTGGGCTCTAAATTCCTATCAACTAACCCTGAGACTATTTCCTCAAAAGTCGTCACCGACGTCTCCAAGTTGTCCCTTTCTCCATTTAAAATGGCTAAAATCGTTTATATTTATTTTAAAAACAAATATTTCTACAAGCAATTCCCATTTCCCACTCACCGATTCGATTCTCATAATCCCCACAAGCGATCTCAAGAGAACGAATCCGATTGATCACCTCTGGACTCATTCCGATATCCTAGAAATTGTAATCTTTAGAACTGAATATCTTTTATAGCTAAGAGCTTTTTGTTATCTTGTTAGCTATGACAAAAAAACAAAAAAATAACCTGATTCTTTTTCTTCAACATCTCAATTTGATCTTTCAACTGTTGATTTTCTCGAGCCACACCCTCATGCATTACAAGTTGAGCCTAAAATTGCCTTGGTTTGATTGGCTGACTTCAACTATTGAAAAACTCGATTCTATACTCTATTCAATAGCATACCCTTGTCGCATCGAGTTCCTTTTGGGTAATGTCGATGCAAGCCTCAGCGTCGGTCGCTTTACGCCACGCCAATTCGATCGGCTGAGACTTCTTCTCCAAGTCATCCTTAAATTTTGCTTTAATACTTATCTCTATACACTTTTTAAGTCTCTAAATAGTTTCTATAAGCATTCTGAATATTGTACGGATGCTAAAACGGTGGTGTACCATTTTCGATGAACTTCATTTCACCACTCACCTCTAATATCTGAATTTTCATGTCTTGTTCTTTCACATCAAACTCCAATTTCTTGTTTTTCTGTAAATTTATGTAATTGATTACTTTTACTATTACTTTTCCCTCAAACCTCAGCCAACAAAGCGTACTTTTCCTTGAGCTGTTGCAGCGCCTTTTTACTCTCATCTTTCAATTTCTTTTCCTGACTTCGCATTTGTGATAAAGCCTAAAAGATCTAGATGGTTTAAAGTTTTAAAGCCAGTTCAATAGCTGAATATTCTCAATCAGCTCTTGAAAACTTAATGAGATTTTCTTTTGAATATTCTCAATCACCTTAATGAGATTTTCCCTCTCCGTCAACATCTCAATCTCATTCTCTCGATATCTCGCCAACTCGTTCTCAAGATTCTAGAACAAGATTAGCTTTTATTTCTAAACTTTTCTACCTTCTGTAAACGGATTCTTCCATAAAGTCGACGATTCCGATTGGCGTGCAATAGACGACAACTCCGCTCGTAGAGAAGATGCTGATTGACGAGACGAAGACGCGATTGAAGGACTTCAGTCTAAAATTTGCACTTGCAAAACAACTAAGCTACTGTTAAACACCTGAGCTTCTGGAGTCAAATCCTGCAAGATATGAGACATGTCATCGTAGATTCTTCCAGGCAAACGATCAGCCAAGTACAAATCCTTGAGCGTGTTGTGATACGCTTTACTGGCAGCAATGTAAGCGGCTCGATTCTCTTCATGTTGCTGTTCCAGTGTTTTCTCAAGCTTTCCATCTAAACATTGTAAGATTTGAACATATTCAGTTCTTATTGGTTATACATCAACAGCGACTTAGCTAAGAATATAAATTCATCTCTAATTTGCATTTTATCCTTTGTTGTACCCACATTTCTTTTAAAAATCAAATACTAGAAGCAATATTTGTTTTATATATTTTCTAAACTCACACAAACTCATTTGCGGTCCAGTGATCAGCGTCAAATATGGAAACGCTTGAAGGAGTTGCTTCTCGTTTTGCGGGAAAGCGATCGATTGAAATGTTTGGGATTCGATTTGATTTACAAAAGCATCGGGAACACTCCGACGACGACGGAGAAGATCACGAATGTCTGGACAAGAAGAGGAACGGAGACTGGAAATGGGCAAGTGTTTATAAATGACTCTGATTCTCAGCTAGATCTATTGTTCCATTCAACTCACCCCTGCATCTCTGAAACGTTCTTTGACGTAGCTCCCTCTAATTCAGGGCTATTCTCATCTTTCACTTGACCAGTAATATCAGTTTCATCATTTTGCAATGGAGGACATTCTAAAAATACAGCTGAAACTATTTCTTTTCCAACAATTACCAGAATGAAAGCGTTGGCGATTAAATTTGTTAAAAAAGGCGGATACAGAGAAACGAGGACGAACAAGGTGTTGAGGTTCACTAGAGACATCAAGATCTTCCTGTAAATATTATCAAGATCTTCAAAAATAGTTTTAAAATACATGTGAAGTGTTTGAGACAGAATCTGATGAAATGGCATTGTTGTTGTACCTAAAAAGAAGTTTCAATGATCTTCTGATGAATGATGAATGATCTTTGAATGATCTTTGAATATAAAACATTTTCTATTTGATTATTTATGCTCAAGGACTGTAGTAGACAACAAACATGAAATCGCCGGCATCATTGAGATGTACTTTTGTCTCATCAATTGTAAATCCTCGTTCACGAACGGATTGTCGAGCCGCTTCTCTCGCCGCCACAACTTCGTCCATATAGTTTACCTAGGAAATGTTTAGCTAACTCAATTCTTAAGCTTACAATCAGCTTTAGCTATTCTAGGACTTGAAGTAAAGCTCCTTTAAAGCTCCTTTATAGTTCCTTTAAAGCTCCTTTAAAGCTCCTTTATAGTTCCTATTTAGTTCCTTTAAAGCTCCTTTAAAGCTCCTTTATAGTTCCTTTAAAGCTCCTTTAAAGCTCCTTAGTAGTTCTCTTAGTGTTTGTTCTCTTATTTACCATTGGATCACTTCTTCTCGGTCCACTCCTTTTTCCTCCACTATTCCCGCTCGGATCTCGACTCCTTTCATCGAATTCCCCAGATAAACGTTGAACAGAATGCTTTTGACTGAATATTCTGAATATTAACTTCCTCTCCAATTCTTCTCTACCTCGTTTTCCTCATTTCTTCAGCATTCGATTCAGCTCTTTCCCTTTGAACCATTGTCACTTTAGCGGAGAGAAGATGATCCACATCGAAAACTTCTTCCGCTTCTTCAGCTGTACTCACCTGAGTTCAATATTTCGGTGAATAGATACTGTTCTAAAAGCAGAAATCAGTCTACTCACAGTTCCACTCGCATTATCCCCATCTTCAGCCACCACCTCAATCAATGGCTCGTAAACTCTTTCAACTTGGGGTGAGATAGCTTTCTTCACATTTCCAATCAATTGTGAGATGAAAGAGCGACTTCTGCTTGAGTTTCCAGAGGCATCGCGTTGCTGAAAACTTTCTTGGAGTTAAGTTAAGTTAAAGGATAGATTCGAATTAAGTTCGGTTCTCACTAAAGCCAAATTATCGGCAGATAGGTGTAGTGATATAGTTTTGAAGCTCAGTTCTAATTGGTAGACTCAATAAAATGAATAGCTCTAATCGATTACTTTCAATTAGTGCAATTCTTCAGCTGTATCTTCAGCTGTATCTTCAGATGTATCTTCAGCTGGATCTTCAGCTGGATCTTCAGCTGAATCTTCAGCTGTATCAAAACTGACCCTTGATGAAATAACTGAATCTTTTAAGCTTTCGTTTATGGCTCTCCCATGCGGAGATGATGAGCGAGTGCCTGGTGGCGTGTTTAACAATGACATCAAGTCAAAATTTGCACCCGTATTGATTGCTGAAAGAAATCACTGAAATTATCAAAAGTATTCAAAGAAACCATCAGTCGCAGCTGATTCCTCTGTTTGTGTATTCGACATTTGCCCATCTTGACTCGTTGTTGGGAGAAGTGCCAAAAAAATATCGTCTCCACCCTCACCACCTCGAGATTCACCTTCCACATCGGGTTGATCAACTATAATGATTGGTATAAGTCTTAAATTGATAGCAGTAGATTACTAATCATCAATAAGCTTTGTTCCTAATAGGGCTGGTTCTCCAGATCCATACATATTCTGTTTTGGCTAAATGACAATCTGTCAGGAGTTATAAGTGTTTAAAGTTTTGTTTGGACTCTAAAAATGTGGTCAGTGGCCTTTGGGTCTTAATGGCCTCCTTGCGGGCCGACCACTCTCGGGGCCTCCAGGGCCGACCACTCTCGTTTCCAGAGCCAGCCCTCGCAAGTTCGACCCCAGCTTTGGATTTTTCTTTTGCTTTTTTCAAGAAAGCTGACTAGTGTTCTTTAGGAAACTAGTCTAGATCAAATCTAGGCTTATCACAATCCTGGCTTACTTTCTAAGACTAAAGCCAGCCATCTATTAGCAGGAGCATATCCTGTTCCTAACTTGGTTTAAAAATAGCCCTCTTTCCCAAAACTTTTCCCTACCATTGTAAGTAGTTGGAATCAATCCAATCACGACTCGCCTACAATCATCCAAGAAATCGTGTGCCTCTTTCTTTGCCCATCTGAAACCTTTCCCCCATCTTCAACACTTCCAAGTTTTCCACCTTTCTCTCGACAACTCCTTCTCTCTATCCATAATCAATAAATTTGGATGAAGTTTGACTCCATTCAACAAAGGGATCACCACTCCATCAAGAATTGCTTGTTGTTCCTGTAACTTTGACATTCTTTATCTTCACCTCACTTTTACTGGACTATGAATCGTTTTGAAATATGAGCGAAGATGATGAATGAGCATGTATGGATAGATTCCATACAAAGAATGGAAATATTCTCGAACGGCATATTGCAAGTGAGAGACATTGATTCGATCCACTGGATTTGTGTTCGCCCGCAAGTCTCGCATCTAGAGATTGTTTGTGCTTAGAGATAACTATATAAAGCCCTCTTTCGAACAAATATGACTGTCTTGTCCTTATCTTGCATCCAACTTTCAAACTTAACGTATGTCCGTCCCACCTAGACTAGTGCTAGAACTGTTCTATTGGGTTGGTGAATTGAAAACTGCGGGAAATTGAATTGATCGGAAAAGGATGGCATGAATTTTAGGAGTTTCCTTGTATTAGTTTATAGTTTATGAATGTCTATTAGATGGTTTTAACTATTTTTTTTTGATATTATTGGGTTGGTGAATTGAAAACTGCGGGCTATTGTCATATGTGACAGTTTGAGCACTTTCTTCAAAAGAAACCCATTTTGGTGTCAATGGAAAAGTTGTAGAGAATCAAAAATCAAGCTTATATCCAAATTTTCAGAACGATTCAAAACCTGGTTTTCAAGAAATGCCAAATTTACGAATTTTCACAAAACTTGCATTTTAAGCGAAACTACTAAGTGTATCTTTTTGGAAATTTGGCTATAAGCCTCATTTTTGATTCTCTACAACTTTTCTATTCACACCAAAATGGGTTTCTTTTGAAGAAAGTGCTCAAACTGGGACATCTCCAGCCCTCAATTTTTGAGTCTCACACTTGTCTCACACACAAACCAAAATCCTACTCCGAAAGAGGAATCCGCAAACTGCCTGTAAAATGGGCAGAAGTCGACAATAATAATGGAAATTATTTGGAATCAATTTATGGTTTTATGTTCAATAAATTTTATTTCAAAGCCCCGCAGTTTTCAATTCATTAACCTAATAATAAAAAATAGAGCACGTGTGGCTGACTGGTTAAGTGTCTTTTATCTTAATCGGAAGGTCGAGGGTTCGAACCCCACATGCGACATGGTCACCCCCTCGATTTCCTTTCCCTTCGGGTTGAGAGGTTTTCTGGAGGGCAGTCTGGTGGTTGTGGCCCCAGTTCTTTAAAGTGACAAGCCACTCCTTCATCGTCATCTTCCCTTCACCACCAAAAAGCTATTTAGTTCCCCATTGAGCTTAGGGTTAGGGAGCCGTCTGTCATGACGTGGGTTAAGTTAAGATATAGCCTAGTATTGTGTGTGTCGTTGTATTGTGATTGATATATTTCGTGTATGCGATAAATTCACCACTGGTAGCCCCAGTCGGTATTTTTTTTTTTTTTAAAAATTAACCTAATAATAAAACCAAGATTATGTTCTCTTTGCTGGAGTTTCATAAAGAATTCAGAAAATACGGCAGCTATTTGGGAAGGAACAATCAAATTAAAGCCCATGGACAGATACGTTCATTTTGAAGCGGTGCGAAAGCTGGCCGAGCTCAGAGTGAGTAGACGTGAGTTTTCCAATTCTTACTACTTCTCTAGGACTTGCTAATGAAAATTTATTGGTCGGTAAGCTACGAAAGAAGAATCCGCAAATTGCCTGTAAAATGGGCAGAAGTCGACAATAATAATGGAAATTATTTGGAATCAATTTATGGTTTTATGTTAAATAAATTTTAGTTCAAAGTCCCGCAGTTTTCAATTCACCAACCCAATAGTATTGGGTTGATGCATAATTATCCGGACTTCTTTTTGCGTGCTTGTATCTTTTTTTTGAAAGCTTTTTGTCTTTTTCTTTTTTTTAAATATTCGTTATTCTTTAGTGAACAAAATGCGTGTCGACAATCATATCCATCTTCGCCATATCATGCTCTACCACTTCGAAAAGGGATGGTCTGCCGCAGAGTCGTTTCGCGATCTCAAAGAACTGGAGAAGCCCCAACGGACTACCACGTCAATCGATCGCTCAAAAATTGGCAAACAAATAAGATCTACAACGATTTGGATGACTTGATAGACGATGTTAAAGCGTGGATTGCCTCCAAAGATCGTTTATTCTTCGCTCGTGGAATCGATCGTCTTCCAAGCAAATGGCAATCAGTTATTGATGTAGGCGGTGAATATGCTCCAGAATAATCAATTAAACATATTTTTCTAACTATTTATGTTATTTTTTGTTAAATAAAATCATTTATAAAAGAAGTCCGGATAATTATGCATCAACCCAATACTATTGGGTTGTCCAGTTATGAATGCGCGTTTTTACTATTTTGTAAATTTCTCAAGATATCGAACAGATGTATACGAGTGTTATATATCATTCGAAAGCTGAAAATCTCCTCTACATTTTGGAATAAAAAAAGTTTTTGAATTCATTCAACTTTTTGGGAAATTGACTGCACAAAGGGAGAGATCGTTTTCGAAAAAACCCATTCCAGCTTAGCTATTCCTCAAGTTTTATGGTGTAAAATAACCGCCCAGAAAAGAAATTGTTAATGCTCTGAAATTGTTATATTTAAAAAAAAGTTATATTGATATATCTATTGGCCAAACAGGGCCAAAAGTTTTTGAATTTGTCCAGCTTTTGGGCAAATTGACTGCACAGAAGAAGAGGTGACCAAAAAAATGAAAGGATGCCTTTGGATCAAGTTTTGGCTCCGCTCAAATTGAGTTAACCGTTTGGAGTTAATCGTTAACCGTTTAACCATCCATTTCCATTCGGAGATTCGATAATTGATGGATCGTTAAAAAGAACTGAAATGGTTCAAACGGGAATTCGTCAACGGTAGATTATGTAATTATTACCGCCTGAGAACCTGGGGCATTTGAGAGTATAATAACAATCCCATTGAAAGACTGAAAGACTGAAAGAAAAAAAATTTTTATAGCAAAATGTAGAGGAGATCTTCAGCTTTCGAATAATACGAATAATATATCTTTTTCTTGATTTCGGTATCAAACGGTTAACTCAATTTGAGCGGAGCCAAAACTTGATCCAAAGGCACCCTTTCATTTTTTTGGTCACCTTTTCTTCTGTGCAATCAATTTGCCCAAAAGCTGGACAAATTCAAAAACTTTTTATATCAAAATGTAGAGGAGATCTTCAGCTTTCGAATAATACGAATAATATATCTTTTTCTTGATTTCGGTATCTTGAGAAATTTACAAAATAGTAAAAAACGCGCATTCATAACTGGACAACCCAATAGTAACAGATCCTAATCAATCCATCTAAACCATAGTTTGGACAGATCTAAACCAAAAAACACAAACCTTTCCCTGTAGAAAACCGGCGGCATTCACAAAAGTATCAAAAAGTTGTCGAAGTTGAATCTCCGACATCACAGCACAATGGGGCAACAAAGAGGCGAGAAAGAGAAGAGCGGCGATGTCTTCAGCCATTACATGAGTGTGCGTTCTCTAAAAGTATTAAGTTATTGAGTAAGTCTTTTCGTTTTGCTAATATTATTATAATTGTATTGTGATATTAGGCTTAGGGGTTCCAACTCACATTAACAAACTTGAGCACAGTTTGGAAGATCTCATGCTTGGCGATTCGAGGGACCCAAGACGGAGCTGATTGAACGATTTGACCCAAAAGGATTATAGCTGCTGGAGTCTTTTTCGCGTTCATCATCATTTCTTTCACAACGTCTAATAAAGCCTGAAAGTTTGGCAATACTTTTTGGAGCACAGCGTTCGGTTGTTTAATGGTTAAACCTACAAAATCGTGCGGATCTTTGATCTCTGTCAACAAGTCCAGTGCTCTTCCTGATCCATGCTCGTAGTAATGATTGACGAGTTGACGAATCCCTTGCCCTAAATGAGATATAAAACTTGCTGGCTTCATTTCAAATCAAATTTCAAATACCCATTCCAAGTTGATAGTGAAGCGCTTGGCGAATGTCATTCTCGACTTGTCTAAACGTTTATTTGTTCAAAGCTAAATTCAAGCTATTGTGTTTCCCACTTGTCATCCGAGTCAAGCAAACTCAAGAGCTTATTGATGTTCACATTTCGATTCGTTGGAGACGAACAAGCTAAAAGTTAAAAAATTAGATTTTGGTTATTTTAAGAAATAAATGAAACCTCGACTCGAGCTCGCGCTCAACCTTGACATGATTTTCTCAAAACTTTTCGATTGATCACAAACTCATCTAAAAGGTTTTATGAAAAGCTTTCTTTTTTAACAGATATAATCAAAAAAAGCACGTTTTTTTGTAAACAAATTTCTTGACAAAGGCCATCAAAAACGCGATGATCCTTTCGACAGAAAGAAAAACGATTCAACGAGGGTAGACAAAAAAAAAGGGGAAAAGAGAAAGAATTTAAATTATAAAAGCAGATTTCTGGTTTAAATCATTGTTTAAATCATAGAAGAGAAAGTCTAGAAAGCAGTCCAGTTCAAAAGCAATCAGGACTTCAATCAGAACTTTGACTGAATTTCCTCAACCTTTGATGATAGAATTGATGTCCACCAAAGACGAAAGCAGAAGTATCCCGTAAGTAAAAACAGTCAAAGAGCTAAAAGACAACTAGACATTTATTCTATGAGCATCAAAAACGAATTCAATCTCTAGAATCTATCAGCTTTCAATATTCACCAAAGAAATGCTTTACTTTCACATACACTAGCGATGAATTGGTACAATGAAGTTATTTATTTCCTTGTTTTTAGCTTTTATGCTATATCAAGATCCTTAATATCTCATATTTTTGTTCATTTTTTTCTGGTTTCACTTTATTTATCTTGTAAATTTTGAATAAACAATCCAAAAAGAGTCACAGAATTTGCCTAGGCAGTATGCAAAGGTAAGTTTAAACATGAAATAAAATCAGATTAAATACCTTTTGAAGATGATTACAGAAATGAAATCATTAGTAATACGCTGAATGTTGCCAGCTCCGAGCCAAACTGATATTTTAGTTACTATTGTTATTATTGAATCTTATGTCCATTCTTATGCAAATGTGTCCTTCCCTGTGCTTATCCCTTTTATTGCCAAGAAGGATTGCCTTGGGTCCTTGGGATTGCCTTGGGTCTTTGGGATGCCTTGGGTCCTTGGGTCCTTGGGATTGCCTAGGAGGACAAGTGAGACTCTCATTTGAAGTCCCCCCTTCCCCTTACACTTATTTGTAATCTATTCGTCTTATTATACTACTGTAAATAAAGATACATATCTTCCGGGTCTATGCAACTGCAGTACAGGTCGGTCATTTCACAGGGACTCCCGTTGGAGGAGTTGAGTTGGGTTGTCGGTGTGTTAGAGATGGCGGGATATCAAAAAGGGATCCACTCTTTTTAACTTAACCCAAATTCTAGTCCACATCCGTTTATACCTAGGAACGAATATGGAGGTTCCACCTTAGAATTCGGCATTTCTAACACAACCAGACTTGTGTCTTGGTCAGAAATTTGTTTGTTATATTTACCTATATTGCTTATTCACTTTATTCTTTTATTCTTTCTGACTAGACAACTTAAACTCAACAAAGGAGTGACCAACCCGCTAGGTCCAACCGCTAGGTCCAACCGCTAGGTCCAACCGCTAGGTCCAACCGCTAGGTCCAACCGCTAGGTCCAACCGCTAGGTCCAACCGCTAGGTCCAACCGCTAGGTCCAACCGCTAGGTCCAACCGCTAGGTCCAACCGCTAGGTCCAACCGCTAGGTCCAACCGCTAGGTCCAACCGCTAGGTCCAACCGCTAGGTCCAACCGCTAGGTCCAACCGCTAGGTCCAACCGCTAGGTCCAACCGCTAGGTCCAACCGCTAGGTCCAACCGCTAGGTCCAACCTCTAGGTCCAACCTCTAGGTCCAACCTCTAGGTCCAACCTCTAGGTCCAACCTCTAGGTCCAACCTCTAGGTCCAACCTCTAGGTCCAACCTCAAGTACAAAGCTGTGCTTTGTACTTGAAAAATCGATGGGTTTCTTTCATTTACCACAAAGTACACTGCAAAAACTGTGACGTTGAACTTTGCTGGACTTTGAATCTCGTAAACGCGCCCCATCCGACGTATCAACACTTAAATCAATTACAGGCAGATCTCTGGTTGTAATTGTCCTCAAATCTTAACATCGGCAGACATTTTTCGTTTCTCAAACATCCTCGCAAAGCAATCACATCTTCAGCTTATTACTAATGATTTCATTTCTGTAATCATCTTCAAAAGGTATTGAATCTGATTCTATTTCATGCTTAAACTTACCTTTGCATACTGCCTACCGTAAATACTGTAATAGTACCCCACCCCCATAATGACGGCGTGGAGCGTTGCGTAGGCTAGCTTTGAACAAGCTTTTCTCGACACTGGTTTATGCTACAATGCGCGCTTAGGTATCAAAAAATAGCTGAAATTCAGGGCTATTTTTTGATACCAAAGATAATGATGGTGCGGAGTGTTGCGTAGTCTAGCTTTGGAAGCGTTTTTCTCGACACTGGTTTATGCTACAATGCTCGTTTAAATATCAAAAAATAGCCCTGAATTTCAGCTATTTTTTGAAAGTACGGGCGCTTTGAAAAAAATGAATTACTAAAAAACTTTTGTGACTACGCGACTGTACGAGGGGGGTGGGATACTATTACAGTATTTACCGTATATAATACATCCCTGCTATTAGGTTGGAAAGAATTTACGTATTTACGACAGTATTTACGGTAGGCAAATTTTGTGACTCTTTTTGGATTGTTGTTCGGGTAGTTGAGTGCAATATTTCTCGAATCAGTGGAATTTTAGCAAAAATTGATCCCAATATTTTGGGAATAGTCACGTGAAGTCGGCTCAGTCGATCACCGATCCTTCCTCTTTGCGCATTGCAAAAGGGCAACACCGCATACCGAGACCGTTTGCCAGACGACGAGCGATTACGTGGCCACAGAAAGAACACCAGTTATTCCCCTAGAGATTTCTTTTGTTCTGTAAACATTGCTCAGATGCGATATGAAGCCAAAAGTTTGTACTCAGGGGTTTTTGCGATTGGCGGAGTTCGTTTGTTGTATCAAAATCTCTAATTTGGGCTGATCTAAAGTCATTTTGGCTACAAAACCTATAAGAACCTATTTCTCCTATGAAGCTGATTGAAAACTGATCAAAAATGATCTTCAGATGCGAAAAGTGGATGTTCGAAAGGAGAATTTCGATCAAATGATGCACTGGATGGAGATGGGATGGACGGTCATTGATGTGTACGTGGAATCGGTGGTGGGTTCGACAAGAGATAGGATCTTATCATGCCGTATTCTCTCTAATAGTAGTGCACCCCGGCGAGCCGAGTTGATGACTATTTTACAGTTCCCAAGCTTTCACAGAAGCTCAACACTCAAAACCCGCACTAGATCTCATCGTGAGCTACATTTTCCGACCCTACATCGATAGGTTCTGATAAGCGGTTCTTGAGATCTCGAGGAATTTAGGCGATGCTCAGGGTGCACTACTATTAGAGAGAGCACGGTATCGTAAAACACGTAAGCAAGTACAGTTCACTTGTCATTCTAAACGTTATGGACTTTCAAACTTTCAGAACTCAACTCTATCATTGTACGAAAAGCCAGACATGACTGAATTGATTTCAACTTTTTATCCATTTGTCTGCGAGATTTTTGAGGCTAATCCAAAGGATATGATGTGTGTTGAAATGTTTATTCATTCAAAAAAACCCCAATCTTTATCAATAAATGAAAATTTAGCCTTGAATATTGGAATGGATCTCTAGTAAATATGAAGGGAACGATTCAAGAAGCATATATTTATCAACCAATCCCAAAAGAACAATCACTCGACCTTTACATTAATGAGAAACAAATGAAGTCAAGGTAGTTGAACTTTCAGCTCTACTTTGATGTAGAGCTTTGATTTGAACTTTGAACACAATAAATTCTCTACCATTTTCAATTAGCTAAACAGTTTTAGACATTTCGACTTTGAGAATCCGTGCAACGATGTGCCGATGATGCGGACAAGACGGCGGTGAATGGAGGAGCTGAATCTCATCTTTTGTAGACTTGTTTGCAAGTTTTGCAAGTTTTGCAAGTTTTTTTAAGCCCAATTCAATCATTTTAAAACTTTTCTAGATTTTAGATGTTCTTTCGTGTAAGAATCATGTTCAAAATAACATTTTCCTTAATGAAAAACCCTGTTACAAACGTGTACATTGAGCATTTACATTTTTAAGTGAAGCGCCGATTTTCGATTGTCTATTTTCTAGGATTTGCATAAAATTGAACTTTATAGACTTTTAATAACTTGGTCATTCGATTTTAAAATATCAAAGAATAAGCTGTCCAGAAAGCTTTCGTAAAGAGAGGCAACTTTTAATGTATTGTAATGTACAATGTAACGTAGCCGATTATGAATGAAATTTTTTGGTAAATCTTTCTAGTAGAGCAACCCTTTAATGTATGAGGACAATATTATATCATCTTGTAGCGAATTCAATTCTGCGTCGATTGGTACCAAATTTGTGAGTTTAGGTTGAAAATTGCCGGCGCTACAACGTTGCATTCAAAATCGGCGGGACCCCCGTAGCCGATTATGAATGAGTGGGTCTAGGGGCGTCTAACCATCAAGTATTTAGTATTATTTAACGCAGAATCATTGATAATTATGTTAAATTTTTAAAATTAGCAAGATTTGATGAAAAGAAAAAAAATTAGAGCAAAAAAACTGTTTGTTCAAGAGAAAACTTTGAAGCCCCATAATTTGTGTTCTTTTTATCCACTCTTGCTAATTTTAAAAATTTAACATAATTATCAATGATTCTGCGTTGAATGATACTAAATACTTGATGGTTGGACGCTCCTAGACCCACTCATTCATAATCGGCTACGACATATAGACTCAACGCTGTGTTTGCCTGTAAACTAGCGCTTTCTCACACACAAACTTGGGTAATTAAACCGACTCGAGGGTTAATTCGGCCCTCCTACCCAGGGTCACTGTGCCAGACGCCGCTTTTTCCTATGAGCGACATGAAAAATACGCTCTCTTTACTGTGATCTCATAGATGATTTCATCTGACTATGAGATTAAAAGTTCATCGCTCTAACAGACACAGACACAGACACTTCCTGATAAAACACAGACACTTCCTCTCCCCGAAAATCTCCCCATTTCATCTATCACTTCTCAAATTTCCTCTCATTTCTCTTTTTCTTTAATCTTTTCTCGTCAGATTTCCCAATGTTTCCCCATTTTATTCAATCTTTCTCTTTTCCTTTTTCCTTTTTCCTTCTTCCTTTTCCCCTTTTCCTTTTCCCTTTTTCCTTTTTCCTTTTCCCATTCCCGTTTATTGATCTCTTTTCCTCAACCACAGCTGCAAATTTCTTCATTTTCATTAACAACTTCGTTTTTCGGGATTTCTTTTTGAAAAGAAAAACTTCCTGTTTTTGGTTCAACTACATTAAACCAATTTAAATTAAAAACCAATCGAATATACTGTTAGATTTCAGTAAAAAAGATCAAAGCTTTACATAGAGATTTTTATCCTTTTATCCTTTTATCCTTTTATCCTTTTATCCTTTAAAAATCATTCCTAGAAGTGAAACAAATCTTTACTTCAATCTTTGCTTAACCAAACCGTGTCCCAAAACCTTAGTTTAGATAAATAAAGATTAGAAATATCTATACAATTGAATACTTTATGAAAATGTTTATTAGATTTTGTTTTACAATTTTGATTTTCAGGATTTCGGGGATATCTTGAAACTTTTTTTTACTTTCTTTACTTCTTTTGATCTTTTGTTCTCTCACAAATCCTGCAGATTTCCCCATCGCTCAAAAGATATTTTTGTTTTTCTAAATCTTTTGATTTACGAGAAACTTTTGTTTCAAAAGCTGTTTATTTCTAAATTTTTGCAAATTTCTTTCATTTAAATAGAATAGAACAATGAAAAATCGGGATTTAGTTAAAAGAAGGCCGTCAAATTTATCATAATCCAAAAAATGAAGTCGGTTCAAGTTTTATATTAAAAATTCCTTGCTTTCTTGGCTAAGAGAAAGATTGTAACTCCCGGGTAACTTGGGAAGGTTCCCTTATTAGTAAAATGATTTTTCTAATGTTTACTTACCTTGAAATGAGCCAAGAGTCTTCGTCTGTGGCAAGGTAAAGAACCAAGGTAAATAAGTGGCTCCAATATGAAAACGAGCCTTTCCCAGACTCTTGAAGCTTCAAAATAAGCTTTCTTTTGGCATCTACCTCATATTGTAACTCGCGGGTAACTTGGGAACGTTCCTTTATTAGTAAAATGATTTTTCTAATGTTTACTTACCATGAAATGAGCCAAGAGTCTCCGTCTGTGGTAAGGTAAAGAACCAAGGTAAACAAGTGGCTCCAATATGAAAACGAGCCTTTCCATTAGAAAGCTGACTTCGTGCTCTCTTTAATCATAATGTGTTAATTGTAATGGTTCTTATTTCGATTAATAAAGTTTTGTTTGGATCAAGTTATTGGATTTTAAAATATTCGAGTTGAAAACGCTCATTTATTTCCGGAAAACCTAATATTTTCGACATTCTCCAGAGAATTGGCCCGAAATTTGCCTCATTTTCTGTCTCTGTTTCCATTTTTGTTCGCAATATTTTACTCAAATCTATTTCTATTTTATTTCTATTCTTTTTCTTTTCACTTGCATCACATTTACTATATTTTGTTGTTACATTTTGTTTATGTTTTTAAAAAAAAGTGGAAAAAGTCATTTCAAAGCAAAAAAAAAACTGTTTTTCACTTTATCATTTCGTGAAATCTTCAAATTTTCGATATTTTTCAATATTTTTCAGACTTTTTAACATGAACATACGAGAAATTCAGTCGCTTTTCATATTCAAGAAACGTATCGATGCTTTAGATCTAGTGGCTCTTTGCCGTAAGTAATTGGCTTATTGATTTCAGTATGTATTGTATGATTAAGTATCACTGTGCATTTCTCTATGATTTCTTTCACTTTATCGTTTGAATAAAGTATTATTACAGGGTGGCTGACAATTACGTGCGCGCAGCATCAGCATCATAGTTTTAAACAATGTATAAAGCATTACTACTCATCTTTTTGTGTTTTAATATTCTTTTATCGTGGTCTAATAATTTTTTGTTAAAAAAGTTGTTTTCTAGGTCATGACAAAGACGTGCGCTAGTCGGGACGCAATCGCACAGCTGGCGACGAGCGGCATGAAGAACTCGTCGATCGCATCGAGGCTTGGGGTGGCTCTGAGGACCGTCCAGAAGATCGTAAAGCAATGGAAAGATGAGGGGCATGTTCAGTCGAAGCCCGGAAGAGGACCAAAGAGGACCGTTAACACCCGAAAGATGCGTGGGATCATCAAGAGGAGGATCGAGCGAAAAGACGATCGTAGTTTGAACAAGATGGCAAAACAGCTTCCAATTTCGCGTTTCTCGGTTCAATCGATAGTGAAAAATGAGCTCGGACTTCGAAGTTATCGACTGTTAAACGGGCAAGTGCTCACCGATCAAGCCAAGCAAAACCGGAAGGAGAAATGCAAGAAATTGCGAGCTTTTTTCAAGGTGCGGCGCATTGACGATGTTCTTTGGTCAGATGAGAAGATTTTCACCTTGGAAGTGGCTAAAACTCACAAAATCACCGTCAACTTCTCAGTCCAGCTCTCAAGAGCACTCGTAAACGAAAGTCGCTACAAAAGGTCTGTTTCCAAAAGGTTTGGGGTGGCATCAGTGCTTCGGGCAAGACCCCGTTGGTTTTTATCGATAAAAATGTGAAGATTAACGCAAAAGTCTATCAAAAAGAGATTCTCGAGAAAGCTGTGGTGCCATGGAAGAGGAGCCATCCCAATTTGACCCTTCAACAAGATTGGGCGCCGGCCCACGGAGCCAAAACAACAATTCGCTTTCTCGAAACCAAAATTGGCCCTTTTTTGACGAAGGATCAATGGCCTGCAAACAGCCCGGATCTCAATCCGTTGGACTTTTCGGTTTGGGGTTTTATGGAAGAACAATTGAGAAATAGAAAAATCACCAATTTGAATGATTTACGTCGAGAATTGATCAAAATTTGGAACGACTTAGATGCAAATTATCTCCGCCGCACCGTCGATTCTGTAAAGAAGCGAATTGAAGCCTGTATCAAAGCGGATGGAGGCCACTTCGAAAATTTCTTGTGTTATTAAATGCTTTTTGTTACAACTATTATATAAATAAAGATTTTTACATTTTCTTTGAAAGAAAATCAAATTATGGCGTTTTCTTTGGCGCACGTAATTATCAGCCACCCTGTATGAACACATCTAAATTTTCTTTAGAAATTTTAATGCAAAATGATTTTAATCCAAATGAATCAACTCAAATTTAGAATGCTCGGATTTGAAGAGATTGATTCAAAAAGTTTACCTATCGTAAATAATGTAATAGTACCCCAGCCCCCTCCTCGTACAGTCGCGTAGTCGCGTTTTTTAGTATTTCATTTTTCAAAGCGCCCGTACTTTCAAAAAATGCGTCTTTGGTATCAAAAAATAGCTGAAATTCAGGGCTATTTTTTGATATCTAAGCGCGCATTGTAGCATAAACCAGTGTCGAGAAAAACTCGTCCAAAGTTAGACTACGCAACACTCCGCACCGTCATTATCTTTGGTATCAAAAAATAGCCCTGAATTTCAGCTATTTTTTGATACCTAAGCGCGCATTGTAGCATAAACCAGTGTCGAGAAAACTCGTTCAAAGCTAGACTACGCAACGCTCCACGCCGTCATTATGGGGGTGGGGTACTATTGCAGTATTTACGGTAGGCAGTATGCAAAGGTAAGTTTAAGCATGAAATAGAATCAGATTCAATACCTTTTGAAGATGATTACAGAAATGAAATCATTAGTAATAAGCTGAAGATGTGATTGCTTTGCGAGGATGTTTGAGAAACGAAAAATATCTGCCGATGTTAAGATTTGAGGACAATTGCAATCAGAGATCTGCCTGTAATTGATTTAAGTGTTGATACGTCGGATGGGGCACGTTTACGAGATTCAAAGTCCAGCAAAGTTCAACGTCACAGTCTTTGCAGTGTACTTTGCTAAAAAGTTTGAGGGAATTCTATTGAATTCCGAGAAATTTTACCTAAAAAGGGAAAAAAATGAAAATCTCAAATTTGTTTTCCTTTTCCCTTTTCCACGTTCTCCATTTTCCATTTCTTTTTTTCAAACTTTCAATTGCCTGACTTTCAAATGTAAAAACAATCTTTTCATGTAATTCTTTGTTCTTTTGTAAACTAATCTTTTGCAATAACCTTTTGCAGAATGCCACTCACCCGTGATTCTCATTCAGTAAGCGTTCCCCATGAACGACCACCACTTCCACCGGTTGCTTCGGATTCGCCGATGTTCGTTGATGATAGTCCAACGCATTCAGTGAGTACAATAAACTAAATGCCTAAGATACTGTGCTTCAAGTTTTTTATTAGATTTTAATAATAAGCGTATTCTTTATTCTTCTCATTCAGATCAAGCAACACGAAGCCGACAGTTATGCCCGTTTACTGCAATTGAATGTTTGTTATGATGTAAGTCATCTTTAATTGTGAATTCTTAAATCATTCTCCTATTTCTGTTATATTTTCCGAGATTTTCTAAGTTTACAGGCAATGCCAACGAGCAGCAAAATGGTTGTATTTGATAAGGATCTTTTGATGAAGAAAGCCTTTAATGGATTGATCTATCAGAGTAAGTTTTGAGAATATACAAGCAAAGCTCTAAAGAAACCAGTTTACATTAGATCAGTATTTGATTTTACAGTTTAGTTTCTAATATTGAAAATTTGAACACAAATCAAATCCTATCTTCCTTTTTCAACATTTCTTGTTCTTAAATTTTATCTACAACCTACAGTACTGGACAATGAAATATCATATTTGAAAAACACTTTCGCACTTTCGCGCGTCTGTAACTCCCTTGTCTTTACCGTATTTCTAAATATTAATATTACCATTGTATAGCCCTTGAAAAGAGCTTTCAGAAAATGTATAACACTAATAGTTTAAACTCAAAGACAAGGGAGTTACAGACGCGCGAAAGTGACGATCGTTTTTTCAAATATCATATTTCATTGTCCAGTACTGTAGATTGTAGATAAAATTTAAGAACAAGAAATGTTGAGAAAAGGAAGATAGGATTTGATTTGTGTTCAAATTTTCAATATTAGAAACTAAACTGTAAAACCAAACTGTAGATCCAGTAATGTAGATCTATTGGAAAGCTATTCGAATTCAAGTTTTAGATGAAACCAATCTAAGAATTTCCGATATTTCAATTATTAGATACTCGTCATGTTTTGATTTCAAGCGGTGGTGATGGAGGGAAGATCTCGGGGATCCTCTCGGTCACTGATTTCATCAGAGTACTCTTGATGAAATATAGGTGAGTACTGTAAAAAGTGTTTATAAATGATCGTTAAAATCTGTTATTCGAATTAAGTTTAAAGGTTTTAGAGAGGTTATGGGTGTGCCGAGTGAGCACGAAGTTGATTGCAATGACATTGGAAATATGACTGTTCGACAATATAGAGGTTTGTGGAGTTGTTCTAAAGGAAAATATCTAAAGAAAGTCAACTCTGGATTGACATTTTCCTGTCTTACAAACCTGTAATTGTTGTATTTCTTATGAGTCTACATTTAGAGTATTTCTGAACACACTTATCAGTTTCAAGTTTTAAGCCTTGATAACTATTTAGACTTTGTCGAATCATCGGGAAAACTCTTCCAACTCGTCTCAATTGATGCCAATCAAAGGTAGGGAAAAAGGGAAAAAGGGGAAGAGTCCTCTCTTCATCATCACCCATAAAACTCTTCCAACTCGTCTTAATTGATCCTTTTTTTAAAGGGAAAAATCATGTTCATTCTTTTATAAATTACCAACTCTTATAGTATCCTTGAAGCGGCTCGTCTTCTTGCGAAATATCGAATTCATCGTTTACCTGTAATGGATCCAATAGAGGGCAGTCCTCTCTTCATCATCACCCACAAAAGAATTCTCAAATTTTTGTGGTGCTTTGTGAGTTTTAAGTTTAAAGATAAGATACCAGTATTTCTTATTCTATGGAAACCAGCTGAAAATCAGCCTAGCAGGTTAATCAGCGGGTTTTTCCCGGCTTGCTGTCATGTCGCCCTGGTGCAGTCGGGAGTGGGGTTGTTCACGTCCCATACGGCCCGCCGGTAGTGTCGAGTTCGACTCCCCGTAGTGCCACTAAATCTTGAATCTTTTATTTTAAATTCCAAAACTCTATTAGATTTAAAAAATTTCACTTCTTTTTAGGGTACTCAATTCTCTCTACCCGAATATCACGTGAAAACCCCTCGAGTGCTTGGAGTAGGCACTTGGGAAAACTTGAAAATGGTTGGTTTAAGCTAAAAATTGTTTCCGTTTTCAGCCTAGATATGCAATTGTTATCCAATCTTCTATTTAGTAATGCTAAAAGAATCTTCAGGTCTACCCAAGCACTCCATTGCATGAATGCCTCGAAATACTCAGCACTCAGAACATCTCTGGAGTCCCTGTTGTCGATGAGGAAACAAAAAAGGTTTCTTTCTCAGATAAGAATCTAGTTGTACTTCTTGTCGTACTATGTATTTGCTTGATCGTACTATGTACATTTCAAATGGCTTCAGATGATCGGAATGTACTCTCGATTTGATGCAATCGCTATTGCCACCGATAATGATCCAAATCGATTGGAAAAATCCGTTCAATCAGCTCTTGACTTCAAGAATTTTAACAAAGTAAGCTAATCTGTTCATGAGATATCAATTTTAAATTTATTTTCCATTTCTAGAATCTTGCCAGCATGGTGGTGTCGATCAACACAACGGATACCTTTTGGACGGCCGTTCAAGTGCTCGTTGATCGAAATGTGCATCGATTGTGTGTTCTGAATGAGCACCAACAAGTTGAAGTGAGTAGAAACATTCATTATCAGATTCAACTTCTAAAATCGAATTGAATTTAGCATTTCTAAAACTCTAGCTTTCTGAGAGACAGTCTTGGGTAATTAAACCGGCTTGGGGAGTTTTTCGGCCGCTTTACTGAGGGCAATGCGCCAGATGCCGCTTTTCCTTACGGGCGACGTCAAAAGAACGCACAGGGCGATGATAAAGATAAACTTGTGCCCTGTGCCCTATGCGCACACGCACAGGGCACAGGGCACAAGTTTATCTTTATCATCGCCCTGTGCCCTGTGCCCTGTGCCTAAGCCTAAGCCTAAGCCTAAGCCTAAGCTGAGCCTGGGCACAAGTTTATCTTTATCATCGCCCTGTGCCCTGTGCGTGTGCGCATAGGGCACAGGGCACAAGTTTACCTTTATCATCAACCATATTCTTAGAATTGATTGATGATTGTAGCTAGAACCATTTACAAATCTTAACCTTTTTCAGGGTATCATCTCATTAGCCGATGTGATCAATTACATGGTGGTCAAGCCGGGTGAACATCTACAATCTCCGAAAGCACAGCACACACCCCGTGTACAACGAGTCGAGGATATGAGCAATCAAGTGAGTTAAAGGGAAACTGAAGGATTACAGCTTTGGATTGTTAAGCTACTGTTAGATAAGCTGGCTGCAGCTCAGATGCAGCTCAGATGCAGCTCAGATAAGCAATACTTTAGCTTTGATATCACTACTTACCATTATTAGGTTGGAAAGAAAATTCTCGAAAAATGTTTTGACTGAAATTTCTTAAAAACGAGTTAAAAACCAAATCAAGAACATTTTGTTACAAGTTTTCTATTATTGGACTATTAATGGACTTCAAGAAATTACAGTGCAGTCCTCCAAGTGCTCCAAGTGCAGCTTTTCCTTAGAATTTTCGAGATTTTTTAAAGTTTATTATTTTCCAAGCTTTTTTTCCAAATTCAGCTCACTTATGAGATAAAGATAAAGAGAAAACGATTCTTTATGAGATAAAGTTAGCATAAATCAGCAATACACTCAATAATCTCTATTTTTAGCCAAAAATTTTTTACAAAGAAGCTGTATTTTCAAAAAATCTTCTTTGCACTGAGTGTTTGCTAAAATATTAGGTTGATGCATACCATAAATACTGTAATAGTACCCCACCCCCCTCGTACAGTCGCGTAGTCGCAAAAGTTTTTTAGTAATTCATTTTTTTCAAAGCGCCCGTACTTTCAAAAAATGCGTCTTTGGTATCAAAAAATAGCTGAAATTCAGGGCTATTTTTTGATATCTAAGCGCTCATTGTAGCATAAACCAGTGTCGAGAAAAGCTCGATCAAAGCTAGACATCACTCCGCACCGTCATTATGGGGGTGGGGTACTATTACAGTATTTACGGTAAGTCTTTTTGTTCCTTTTCGTCTGCCGTTTGAAGCCAACAAATGCACGAATTAAACTACGGTTGATTTCATTAGAAAAACCAATTATTTTTCTGCAAAATAACATTAAAACGGGTTTAAAAATATTTAATGCCTGGATTTTCTTGAGAGTATGAAGTCGGGTAGTCAAAAAGGGCTAACTCGATGATGCGGTTTAGACACCTTAGCTAAAGAAAACCTATCTTCGTGTCAATAGATAAAAGATAGAGAAAAAAAACGTTTGATATTTCGCCAAAATTTCAGAGAAATTCATTCAGCCAATTTTTCCGTAGAGTTTTTTATAGATTTTTACGAAAAAGGCGTTTTTCACTCTCGAATTTGCTTGAAAGTGAACCGAAATTCATTTAAAAAGATGCAAATTGAACAAAAAAACACTTTTTTTATAGAGCAAACTATAGATTAATTGGTGAATTTGTTACTTTTTAACAGAAGTACAAAAAAACGAAAAGACTTATGCATCAACCTAATAGGTGATTCTGAAAAGCTATTGAAAAGCTATTGAAAAACATTTGATCAAATTTCCCTTAATCACAAATTTTCCCTATTTTAAGTACTTGATTTTAGATTTTGAATGAGACACATTACCTATTCATTAACCCATTAAAAACTTGTGTAAAGGCTGGTCACTTAAAAAGTGACCAAGTCACTTCAGCTCAAGAAATCTCTTATTTTTTACATGAAGCCCACTCTGCTTTATTTTGTCAAAAACACTTTGAAATATAGTCAAGCTTCTCAAAAAATTTGGGAAGAATTTATGGCTCAGTTTTTGAGAAATCACCGTGCAAACTTTTGCTGAGAACTTTCTTTTCAATCTAATAGATACCATGAGATTACTGTAGCTTAACCTGGCTGTTAGATTACTGTAGCTTAATCTTGGCTGTTAGATTACTGTAGCCACCAATCTAAAGATTACTAGAGCCTAGACAAACTAGATTACTGTAGTTTAAGATCTTCATAAATCCATAGATTACTATAGCCTAGACACGCTAGATTACTGTAGTTTAAAATGATGGAAATCTTGCAGGAACTCCGCCGTCTCCTCACAACCAACAATCACGACCTCGAGCAACAAAATGAAATAATTCAGAAATAATTTTACTCTGTGAATTTATCTTTAAATTTATGAAGATTTTTATTTGTGATAGCTCAACTTGCATACTTAAAAGTCTCAATTTATCCCAGGAGATCCCTTTAATCCGTTCTCCAATTTCTAATAATAAATGTGATTTTCATAGAGCCTCTAGGTATTGAAGTTGTGATCAAAGAGTTTATCTCTTAAGTGCTTTCCTTCCTTCATTTCCATTTATCCTTTAATAAGCTATTTTACTAAAAAGTGAAAGATATTCAGTCTACTGGAGAATAAATCCACGTTTAAGCTTCATTTTCAGATGTTTAAAGCACTTTAAAATACAAATTCCGAAGCTTATCCATTTCAATTGCTTCGGATATTTCAGTTGAGCTTGAATCTCATAAAAGCTACACTAGCTAAAGGCTACTCTAGGTAAAAGCTACTCTAGCTAAAAGTTACACTAGCACTAGCTACACTAGCTACACTAGCTAAATGTTACACTAGCTAAAAGCTACTCTAGCTAAAAGCTACACTAGCTAAAAGCTACTTTAGCTCAGCTACACTAGCTCAGCTACTCTAGCTCAGCTACTCTAGCTCAGCTACTCTAGCTCAGCTACTCTAGCTAAAAGCTAAAAGCACATAAAGGCTAAAAGTTAGTCTAATGTTCAGTTGATTTTTTAAAAGTTCGGCTAAATGGAAAGCCTTTAGACTTTCTCCATTCAATCAGACAGCAGACATAACCTAAGAAAGACTATTTTTTGTGAATGGATTGGAAAAAGGAGATGAAAAGATCGGCAAGTTCTTCCCTGACACTTCCCCGTTCCTTTTCTTTTCGTTTCGATTCAAGTTTTCTCCAATCAACCCTCAAAAACTTTCTCTTTTAGCTCATTTCCTTACAATGATCCGTGTCATGATTCAAGTTTTCTCTAATCAACCTCCAAAAACTTTCTCTTTTCCCATTTCCCTGCACTCATCTGTGCCATCACAATGATCTGTGCAGCTAAATTTGCACTCATTTCAAACTCACAAAGATCTTTGCTCAAAAAAAAATTGGTCTTGAATCATTTCCTGACTCTAAAGGCTTTTCCACACTTCATCCCGTAAAGAGTTTTTTATTTTTAATGTTTTTTCATCAGATCTGACTCTTTTTTTCATTTCTTTTATCAAAGAGAAAGTTTTTTTTTATAATAAGACATAGCACCAGCTTTATTTCTCTCATTTTCTTCAGGCATTTCCTTCTTTTTCCCTTTCTCCCTTTGCCAGAAACGATTCCGGTTCACAATCATTGCCTAAATGGAAATAAAAGAAAAAAAAAACTTTAATCAATGTGTGATAGAGAAAAGGAAATGAACTCGTGACCTTTAAAAGAAAAAGAAGTTTAGATTTAAGCAGGTTTTGATTGGAGAGGTCAACTACTGTATGTCGAGAAGTCAAGGACAGAATCTTTTAAATATTGTCTTGTTCTGGAAATAAGTATCTTGATAACTAAACTGGTTTCACTGCTTTAAAAACAAGACTGATTATAGGGACTTATTATTATAGCGACTTATACTTATAGGGACTGATTATAGGGACTTACTAATTATAGGAATTCAAGTAATCCGAATCATAGTACTGTAAAGGTAGCAATGAAAATCAAAAAGCTTTATACCTTTCAGTGTTCTCAAAGACTATCCGATTTTGCTGTTTGAATAAGACTTGAATAGATTAAGTTCTCAATTATTGTTAGTTTCAAATATCCAAACTGAATATCCAAATAGCCAATTGCTTTTTCATTATACTCAATATCCAAATACAGAAAATCTGCTCTTCAAATTTCATTAATTTTAAAATTTTAAAATTAATTTGGAAACGTTTCTAGCAATAAACTAAAAGCTAATTAATTTTTAAACAAAACTTTAATCTCTTGTCTTGTTTTATCACAGAATAACTAGTAAAAACCTAGTTTTCACTAAAATCTATGCAGTAAAAGCTGTCAATTGCTTTGAAAAAAAGATCGATCATTGTTTTAAAAGAGAAACCGATCTTTTCACAAAGCAAATGAAGAGGAAAGCTTGTTTTTCAATCTTTTAAAGTGAAAAAGCTAACTGAAATGATTTAAAAAGCTTGTCAGACTTGATTCCCGAAAGTTACAAGATTCCTGAAAGTTAAAAAGCACTCACTTAACAACATTAACTACTTAAAGTGAAAGTGATTGCGATCAATAAAACAGAGAACATTGAAACATCTTGGATGGGCTGAAGCTGAAGGATTAGACAACAGTAGCGGCTTAAAATCCTGTGCTTGAAGTGGAACTGTTCTAGCAATACTTTTAGATAAATGATAAATGTATAGATAAATGTACTAAGATAGATATGTATTCTTGAAGCAAGAGACAGAGAAGCAATGCTCGCCAAGGACAGTACCCTGACTCCCCCGCCTCTGGTGGAACAGCTATAGTACTCTGCCCAAATTCCTTCTCTATCTAATCTATTCTAATCTTATCTATTCCTTATCTTAATTTAAACTTATCACAATATAGTCTTGTTCTTGCTTTCAGTCCATCCTTGCTCCTTTGCTCCTTGAAAGGAATCGTAAATTTTGAAGAAATGATTGAAAAACGTGTTTCGCGATCTGTCAGAGATCCACCAATTAGAAGACAAAACAATAAAATGAAAGTGAAATGAGAAAGGGATAAAAAATGGATTGAAGAAAAGGATTGAAGAAAAGAATTGGGATGTGAGAGGCTAGAATATCAAGGACGATGCAGTGGAGGAATGGGGAAGAGGAGGGTCTGATTTGAGGCGATCTTTAGACAGGAATTCAAAAGATAAAGGACTATAGAGAATCAGAAAGAGATCAAGGTGGGGAGTTTTTACATTAGACATTGGCACAATTGGTCCGGATTATTCTATTGTTCTAAGCCAAAAGCCATAGCTAATTTAGGGAAAACCAGTCAGTCAAAACCAGGTTAAAGCCAATCAACACTGAAATTGATCAAATTAGTGTTTAGAGCCAGTGCTCACTTAACATTTTATTTCATTTTTTCAAAATTTAATGTATTTTCAAAGATTTCCATTGCAAAAGTGTGGATTTGAGTGAAAAAACCTCTTTTTTTAGATGTTTTTCATTCTTTTGCCGCCAATTTCGACAATTTCGACCGTTTTTCTTTTAATAAGTAGGAAATTTCATTTAATTAAGTAATTTCTAAAAGAATTAGCCTCGTCCCTGAAGATTTCAGCTGATTATTTGAAATCTAACCGCTTTAAAGCTTAAAAGTTCTAGATCTTTCTACGATCAGAGAAAAAACTGTAATCCGTCGCCGATTTGAAATTGAGATTGCACCGCTGAGAAGTTTCAATCTCGTTTTTACCCCCACTCAAACTCACTTTTCGCCAAACAAACCCTAGGCCCATTCGGCGCAGTTTTTCAATGCGCATCTTTTGACAGAAAAATGAGCTTGATCTGTAGAAGTGTGGCTGAGAAATGCTGAGAAGTGTGGCTGAGAAAGCTTGATCTGTAGAAGTGTGCTTAATCGTTTGGTGTTCTTTGTGCGCGCGTACAATCGCGCAATTTTTGGCAGTGGCTTTTTACTTATAGGAAGCCCCCTCGCACATAGCTCCTTTGGTTTTTAAGAGTATAAATAGCAATTTCTTCAGACAGATGTTATAGAAGCTAGCTCTCACTTGGTCAATACCCAACCCGCTCGTGGTAGGCCGCGCTCGGAGTCATGGGCTGATCCGGGTGGATAACGAATAGCCCCGAGCGGCAGACCGAAAGGATCTTGTGGCATTCCACAGTCTCCCGTGATGGGAACAGCTGATGTTCGTGAAACCGCTACTGTTTCACAGTGCCACCCGTGGATGGAGACAGAATGGTCTGTTGCTCGTAACCGGATTACATTATGCGCCTTTGGGTACCGGCCTCCGTCAGCTGTCCGCTACTTGACAGTCGTCTAGATGGTGGAAGCTTGGACACCCCCATTGGAGGAACTGTGAGGTTCTTAAACCGACTTGGGATCTGAACAATCCCTTACGCATCAACAAAGCGTAACTTCGAAGCCTTCTCCTACTTACGTTGCGCGCACCCTAGAAAGCTGAGCATTCTTTCAGCGGGAGTCGGTGCCATCACCAAGAGCCAGACGTGGACCTCGGATCCCAACGTTGGGTGCTGGAGTGCGAAGTTCAGCCACCACGTGGATACGGAGAGCTGGACAAAAAAGGGACTTTGGACTTTGAAAAGCTTCAGTCTTCTTTCAAGGGCAAAACGTTCCCGCATGATATTTTGCCCTACGCCAGACGGCGAGCGATTACGCAGCGCAGAAAGAACACGTCGCGATCTCAAAAATTTCCATTTCCTCAAAAAGCCCTTCCATTGCGTGAAGGATAGGCAAATGATCAGCTTTGTGCCACACTTATTATTCGAAATCTAACCGCTTTAAAGCTTAAAAGTACTAGATCTTTCTACGATCCGAAAGAACTGTAATTCGTCAGAATAACGTTTTTGCCCAACCAACACACGCGAGGCTTCTTTCCCTTCTTTGTAAGAGTCATAAATCGGTCGTTTCAAATGCCATAGAGAAAGGGATGAGGAAGTGCTTGCTGTCATCTAGACTCCGATAATTTTTGTTTCGATTTCGATCTTCTTTTGAGCTCACGCTGGCTGGAATCGAATAGCCGGCTCTTTTTAAGAGAGCTTTTTCCAATTCCATTGCACTTTTAATGAAAAAAAAAGAAAGGAAAAACTTGTTTCCGTGTTGAAAAGGGTTTTCCTTAAAATTATTATAATTAAAATTAAAAATTAAGAAAACCTTTTGTCTAGAATGATCAAATGATTTAAAGATACCGTATTTTCTGTAATAGTAGTGCAGTCTATAATAGTAGTGCGGGCAGGAGGGGGGGTGAAAAAATAGTAGTGCGCACTGCCTGCAGTCTATAATAGTAGTGCGGGCAGGAGGGGGGTGAAAAAATAGTAGTGCGCACTGCCTGCACCTCCTGCCTGCATTACTATTATAGACTGCACTACTATTACAGAAAATACGGTAGTTTTGATTAGAGAATTTTTGAGAAAGACTTGTGCTTGGTGGATCTGGATGGATGATAGCACTTTGGTGAAAAGTTTGAGTCTTTTTCGTTTTAGCTTTTTCTTACAATAATCATCTGGAGTCCAAGAAAACGTCGTGAATTCAGCGTGCCAGAAAGGGTGTTTTTGCAAGTTCAAATAAAGATTAAATGACTTTCTATGGCAGCTAACAAATCAGCATCTCATTGTTAAACTTTGTAATAAACTCTCTCATCAATTTCTATAGTTGAATTCTTTCTGTTTCTGTTTCTGTAAGTTCTCTTTTAAGTTTAAGTTTAAGTTTATGCTTAAGTTAAGTTTAAGTTTAGGTTTAAGTTTAAAGTTTAAGTTAAGTTTAAGTTTAGGTTTAAGTTTAAGTTTAAGTCTAAGTTTAAGTCTAAGTTTAAGTCTAAGTTTAAGTCTAAGTTTAAGTCTAAGTTTAAGTCTAAGTTTAAGTCTAAGTTTAAGTCTAAGTTTAAGTCTAAGTTTAAGTCTAAGTTTAAGTCTAAGTTTAAGTCTAAGTTTAAGTCTAAGTTTAAGTCTAAGTTTAAGTCTAAGTTTAAGTCTAAGTTTAATCAACATATGGCAGATCAACAAATCAGCATCTCATTGTTAAACTTTGTAATAAATTCCCTGATCAATTTCTATAGTTGAATTCTTTCTGTTTCTGTAAGTTCTCTTTTAAGTTTAAGTTTCAAACTCAATCCAAGCTTAACTCTCGAATTTTTCCATCAAATCAATTCCGAAAGCGACAATCAATTCAATTAAAATTCAAAGACTGAAAGAGTGTTTTCTGAAATTCAGCTCTGGCGTAGGAAATCGTTGCCGGCAAAGCCTCTATCCTATTAACGGGATCTTTTTCGAAAACGCTGATAAAACTGATCTCTTTTAAGATATTTTCTATAATATAGTTGTGTTAAACCAGCTGAGAAGTTAAATAAATTCCATACTCATCAATGAAATAGCTATTCATCAATGAAATAAATACTCATGAAGTCAAATTCCATACTCATCAAGTCAAATAAATTCCATACATCATCAATTTCTATTCTGAATGCTTTCAATTACTAAATAAATTTGAAAATTTGATTTCATCTCGATTTCGATTCAATCAAAGGAATCTGGAACTCAATTCTCAACAAAGGAATCAAAGAAATCAAAAGAATTTGCATTTAAGCCTGTTAAAGATAGTTAAGATTACTTGAATCAATGGTGAACTTATGAGGAATTTACTTTCAGCTTTTACGAATACGATATGGTGGAATGGAGGCTAATCAAAGCTTAGATTGCAAGAGTTTTTTCAGCATCTGCTCCTCTTAAGGCTACATTTTTTTGCCTAATTGACAGTAAGACGATAAATTCGAAAAAACTTCTTTTTTTCGTTTTTTCGGTGATCTACAGCTGTGTAGCCTTTCCCTCCCCGTTTCCTCCTTTTGATCAGCAAAAAAGCTTTAAAACGTTAAAGAACTTAAAAGATGGCAAAGAGAAAGAACAGGTTCAATTCGTGATTGAGGTGGAATGGCAATGAGAAGGCGGGGCTAATCTTCTATTTCCTCTTCCTCATACTATTGTCTTTCTCGTTTCCCATTTTTATGACGATTCACTAAGTACAAGAGTCCTTGAACTCATTTGGGAATAAATTCAAAAAGAATTCCGATCTTTCCTTTCTCCGCCCTCTTTCCCAGGGTACGGTATTTCCTCTAATTTTCGGACTGAAGATTATTCATTCATTCGTTCAACTATGAAGATACTCACTTTTATATTTGGCTACTGTATTTTGGAGATTCAATCATTGTTTACGCCACATTTCCGCGAGTTTCTAGCGACTGAATTTGGAGAGAAAGAGGCAAAACTTTTGGAGAGAGTCGATTTGGAAGAGAAAGGAAGCTATGGAGGTCGGGAAAAAGCAGAGGATAAGATTAGAAATCAGGTGAGAAACAAGCTTTGATATAAAACTCTCTTTGATTCACTTTTCCTTGTCTGGTTAGTTCTGGTTAGTTCTGGTTAATTCTGGTTGTCTGATTAGTTAGAAAAAGCAGAGGATAAGATTAGAAATCAGGTGAGAAACAAGTTTTGACATAAGACTCTCTTTGATTCACTTTTCCTTGTCTGGTTAGTTCTGGTTAGTTCTGGTTGTCTGGTTAGTTCTGGTTAGTTCTGGTTAATTCTGGTTAGTTCTGGTTGTCTGATTAGTTAGAAAAAGCAGAGGATAAGATTAGAAATCAGGTGAGAAACAAGATTTGACATAAAACTCTCTTTGATTCACTTTTCCTTGTCTGGTTGGTTCTGGAGTGTTTTCAAGTCAAACTTTAATCAACAGCTTGTATTCACTAGTAAATATCTAGCCATCTTTGTCTCGTTTACCTTTTTTTTGTTTTATCTTCTTTATCTTCTCATTCCTAAATTCTTCCTTTGACTTGAAATATTGCCTTAAATTTTGCAAATTCATTTTTATCACAAAAGAATACTGTAGCTTTTTCTAAACACTTTGACATGAGAAATCAAGGTTTTAGACAAGTTTTTCACCTTTAAGTTTAACTGATTGTCTTTTACGACTAAAGTTATAGTCGAAAAAACAAAGATAGAAACTTTTCTTTTCAATAAACCTTTATAAATGACTTTCCCGGTTCTATTTAAGTGCATTTTCTTAAAGCTTTGATTGATGCAACATTCTCATTTTAATTGTTTCCCTAGTTATCTGAAGTTATGTTAATGTTAAACGATTTACGATATGAAACCTGAAAAGCCTCAAATCTTGCAAATAGCACTGTCAAATCAAGTCCAAATCCAGTCCAAATCCAGTCCAAATCCAAATCCAGTCCAGTCCAAAAGTTGTACTAAAAAGACCCAAGCTCTCAAGCTCTTCAAAATCCAAGTTATCTAACTTTATCCTTTGATTAATCCTTCCATTTCCAGCCAGTCATCTTTGTGCATGGGATTTCAAGCACAGCAAATAAATTCCATCCAATCAAACACCTTTTCCAATTGAATGGATACACAAATGCTGATGTAAGTGTGAAAAAAAAATGATTATCTTTTATAATTCACATATTTATTGTAGATTTATGCGACAACTTGGGGTGATCCACAAAGAAATGTCATTGTTTTAAGCGTTGAGTGTGAATATGTGAAACAGGTTGAAGAAAATCATTGTGATAATGAAATCTAAGTAAATCTAGATTCGAACTTTCATTCGAGCCATTCATTTGTACACGAAACGACGCGTTGATGTCATCGGTTTCTCGTTGGGATCGGTGATCAGTCGGAAAGCGATTTATGGAGGATATTGTGATGGAGAGGAGCTCGGGAAACCGATTACAAATATGGTAAGTGGTAAGGGAAAGTAAGAGAGTTAGAAAAAGAATTAGATACAAAGACTAGTCACTGTTCAAAACTTGCTGTTAAAGGAGAATTAAGACGCACTAAATTATCACTAAATTATGTTTCCCGGAAGGGCGGCAGTCTCAGATGGCTCAGTGAAATGAAGTTTTATTTAGAAATGAATAGCTCTAGTCGATTCACCGACCCCGAAAACCCCTGGATACAAATTTACAGCTGAATATCTTTTTATACCATTTATAAAGCTGATCAATCAGCTTTGTAATGATCACACGATCCAACAAATCTTTCAGGTTGACACATTCGTCTCGGTGGCCGGTCCAAACAAAGGCTCAGCTATGTGCGACTCTTTCTCAAACATTGATCTCTGCAATCCGAACAATGGGGTTTCCTGTGAATCGTCATTACTGGTAAGTGAACAGTTCAAAGCATTATTTCAAAGCATTTTATCAGCCCTACATAACCATAAGGATCAGCTTTTAATCCAAATCGTTATATCAAGTTTAAATAAACTGTTTCAACAAAAAGGAATATAACAAAAGAAATCCTCTCAAAGTTTAGCGAAAAATCTTTAACGTTAGACTGTTTATTACTGCGTTAATTAAAAGATTCCTCATAAAAAGTTATCAAGAACAATTAAGGCAGCAAAAACTTTCAAATAGCCTTTTTTCTTGTATAGTTCTGAAACTTTTGAAAACATTGATAAGGTCGATTTTTGAAATTGTTTGCTCTGGTTTTACCAAAGCAAAACGAGCCATTTCCACTTTCTTGGCTTCTCGGAGCATCACCGATTTTGGACAAGCATTGAAGTTGAAGTTTAGACAAGCAGGAGATTTGAAGTAGCATCATCAGGATATAATCAAGTGCATTCGTGCTATGAGCATCCCGTATTAGAAAATTATCCACGCTCTAATCACAAAATCGTTGTATCAAAGCAAAAGTTAGTGCAACAACGATTAAAAAGATTATATCGAGAGTCGACTGTAGATGTTATCTTTTTAAAGAAGTCAGCTGAAAGGTAGATGATCAAATCGGTAGATTGCTTTCTTCAATCAGATCAAAACTTTTACTTCAAAGCGATCATCGATTACTTGAAGATTTTTGATGGTTTCAAATGTTTTTTTGTTTTTTTTTGAAACCACGACACTTGAATGCTTTCATTGAAAAAGCATCGATGATTTCAGTTTTTTGCATTCCTTTTCTTTTTCTCTCATAAAATGAAAAATGTTTAGTACGAGCTGAATACGGTGGGAAGTCGATATGAAGCGTTGAACTCGTTCGCAATCTACAGTTCAACTGATGAAAAGGTGAGTGCGATGAAATTGAAGATTGAACAACATTTGAACTGATAAAATAGGGGAGAAGAAAACATACGCATTTGAAGATCAAGATCTTTTAAATCAAGAAATTGCACGCATTGCTGAAAAATGAACGAACGATCATCAATAAAACGTTACAAATCACTTAAGCGGTGATGTTAAAGAGCAATGAATGAACTTGAATCCTTCTATTTTCTCCATTTCTCATTAGAAAATCTCATCCTTTCTTCTCAAATCATCACTCACAAATCATTTCCATTCTCAAACGTTTTAGTTCTTTATCGGTCGAGTGAACGATTTTTGAGAGTGAAAGTTTAAGGTTTTCCTTCAAAGATGTTCCAAATTCATTTAAGAAAACAAATCTTTAAAAAGTCTTTTAAATTTTTACCCTTCTTGCGAAGAGTATCCAAAAATTGATCAACCGGGGTCTTAAAAAAGACCCGGGCAAGTGTTTAGATATTTCAAAAAAAGGGGGTTGTTTGAGCGTCTTCAGGGGTGACCGTGTGCCAGAAAGAGCGCGATTAGGTGGAGCGGCGGAGAACGCAGAAAGAGAGGTCACAACGCTCTTTTCAAAACGTTCTTTTTAGCGTTAATCATAGTTTTTAAAGAGATTTTGTACAAAAAACCATATTAATAAATCAAATAATCGAAATCTATCTAAAAAGTAATTATTTTTAGATTGGAGACATGTGTTGTGGAGCAAAATGTGGCTCTCTTGAGAGCAGCAATCGCGAATTTGGTGACTACAAGATGAACCATGACAAGCTTCTCTTGGCGTAAGTTCGACAAACTCTTGGATATTTCAAAATTACTGTATTCTTACTGTAATTTGAAATTTAGTACCGCTAAACTGCAACTCGATTTGGTGGTCAAACACCGACCGAGAGCTCCACAACCATCGAGAAAAGCAACACCCAAAAAGACACCAATCACAACCACTCCAACCGTCACTCCAATCATTACAACAACCATAGCTCAAACACAAAAGATTACCGTAGTCTCAGCCTCAGAAAATAAGGAAAACGAACGACACGAGCCAGCTTCCGATCTCGAAGCGGATGGATTCAAGACAAGCACCGTGATCAGTTACACCATAACTGGAGCAGCAATTCTTATAGCTTGGCTATTGATCTTTACTTTAATTATGCATATTATTAGGGTAGTTTAGAGGTTAATTGAAAAGGAAACTAGTTAATTGTAAACTAGTAACTTCTGAAAAGGATTTGCTTATAGAAATCGATTCAAAAAACCTGGTAGAGTAGTTTTCTGGAAAACAAATACGCTAAACATTTCATAGATAAAGTTTTAATAAGCGAGTTTACGGTAGACATGAACTTTTGTAATTTTTGAGGGGTTACTATAAGTTCTATTGAGTAGAAAGTTCTGCAAAAAAGAAATCTACAGATCCCTTTGCCTGTACAGCTTAAAACTATTGGCTTTCATAAAATATTTGGGTAAAAAGCTTTCAAGTTCTCTTTTTTTCTGTATTTTTCTTTGCATGCAGCTTTGTGCCATTAGAGAATACGCTTTGTACAAAATAGAATTTCTTTTTCTTGATTTTCTATGTGAATCTCCATTGAATATCAAAGATTTTTCATTATTGTTAATTGAATATTTATTCTTTTTTTTGTTTAATTTATTGTAAATATTGTTTCAAGAAGTGAAAAAACAATTCAGGCAATTTTTGTTTTAAAAACAAAACTCATGCCACTACAATATGCCAAAATAGAGTTATTTAGCCAGAAATTTATCGAAAAAGTCTATTCTCGACTTAAAGTGCAAATTTTCGATCAGTACTCAAGACTTTCATGTGAAAAATCACCAGAATTTTCCGCTTTTTGGCAAGTTTTGATCAAAAGTCATATAAAAAGTTCCTTGTGAGATTTTGCCTAATTTGCTTTCAAATTCTGAAAATAGACCATTAATTCTACATCCACAAAAAAATTTCATCTCAATTGGTCCAAGTAAGGCTTTTAAATCGATTAAACAAGCCGACGTCTTCTGAAGAAAACCGAGACCGAGCCCTTATAACCCCTTTTTTCGCCCCCTTGACCGCGGGGCGTCGTGGCGGGCGCTTGTTAGTCAGCTTCTTGACCGCGGGTGTGGAGGAGAGGGATTGATCGGGATCAGCCCGCAGCCGACGACCGGACGTCCAAACCAAGTGGCACGTCGCTAGAGGCTGTTTCCCGGAAGGGCGGCAGTCTCGGGCGGACAAGGAGGGACACATGGCTCAGGCCCGAAAGGGAGCAGGCAATAGTCCCCGCGCGTCACAGTGGTTGGATCGCGTCTGGAGGTTGGGGAATGGTTCCGCCCTCGAATCCACATTTTTGAAAAATGTAATTTTACTTTTTGAATAGTCGGCTAAAAGTCGTGCTAAAAGCAAAGGTAAATACATTATTTTTTCTTTAAAATATCAACCTCTTTTGCTTCTTCTCATGCTTTCTTCTGAGGCTTGTTTACAAGATTAGCAATGTTGCTTGTTCACTTGTTTAGGAGAATTGTGTTTAATTAACTTGAGAACTTGAGATGAAATGTCTTTCCAGAATCGCAAACCAAAATATCAAAAACTGGATGTGCTCAACCAGTTCTCCATTCCGCAAATCAATGACGGGAAGGCGGCTTTTCTACTCACAAATGGCGCCTCATTGGCTGACTACCGGTGGATTGGGTTATACAATCAGTGTACAAAGGTAAGTGGTCAAAAATAGAATCCATTTATGCTGTGTACAATTGTTTTCGCAGTGGATGGGGAAATTCTTTAGGAACCAGTGCCACTCATTTCGTTGGATGGACTAGACGCGCCACGAGAAGAGATCATTAGTCCGATAAAAGTAATTGTTTACTTAGAAGAGCAGATTCAAAGTACATTTGTTTAGAGCTCAAATTTCAGGGTAAAAACAAGCACATCTCGTCGGGTCCAGTGAGGATTCTCAACTGCAACACGATTCTCATTCCCGATTTTCGATTTGTGGAGAAAATGGAGAAGCCGGGTGGGTATTACCATAGTTTTAAAAGGAATGCAAAATAAAAGCTTTTGAAAAACTTATCTAGATTCATACTTTTATGTGGGAATCGGCCTGTTTCCGAACAAAATCGAGGGACAAAAGAAGGCGCGAGTGCTCGGATTTGAGGGGTTTGTTCGAGGGAATTCTTCGAGGGATATTCGACTTGATTAATATTTTAAGACATTAAGCGTATCTAATCTTATCTATCTTTTTCATTCACTCAAAAACCTTCAGAAATGAACCCCTCGAGAACTATCACGGTGATGATGTGATGATTCGATTGCCGGCTGGATTGAGAACTTTTGATGTCGACTTTTTGGCGATTTACAATGAGGTTGGAAAGTAGATAGATTAGAGAATAGCTAGGGATTATGGTATTCAAGGAAATGAGATATTGAATACAAATTTCAGGCTGAACGAGAGTACTTTGGATTCGTCACACTACCGAGTGTGCTTGTCCCACCATGTGCTGAATGATAAATCTTTTATAAACTCGATAAAGCTTTTTGACAATGAATGTTGCCATGACATGAATTCTTATTTATTTTGCTTTTTTGTTACCCCCCTTTCGAGGGGTGTGCGCCGATCCCGCCGGTAAGTGCAATGGCGAGCCGACGCTGTACGGTGAGAAGCAAGCTTCTACAAACCGCACCCGTCCCAAAAATTGATTAATCTCGATGAGTTCAATAGAACTCGTACCGGAGACTAAGCCGATAAGAACAGAGGAAGTTTTATTCAGTGAATGTTTGTAAAATTTCAAATAATATATGATGCCCGATGGCAATGGAATTGATGAATACAAATACAAATAGGAGTACTTGCATATAATGAAGCGATAAGGTCAATAAATCACAATAGAATATATAGAAAATTGTTTTAAGATACAACAATTTTTGAGGAAAATGACAAATTCAAATAATAATGAATGTAGGACAATAAGTAAGGGCTTCTCTCTGTTCAATCAACATATTGTTTATTTCCTGTTAGGTGTTCCACGTAGATGTCGCGCGACCATTTGATTGCATCGGAGACCATCAGTTTTTTCATGAGTTGACCATATCGCAGTGAGACGCCGAGTTTTCTAAGTATTACATCGTTAGTTAAACACCATCCACCAAGGGGGCCGACCGTAAATGCGTCCAGGTAGACGTCGTAGTTGAGGGCTCGGAGTTGGTTGGCGATGTCGTCGTACTTCCGAAGCTTCTCTTGTCTGGAGTTGATGAAGGCGTCCACTCGGTTCTCGAAGGGCATTGTTACGTCGATGATGGTCACCGTCTTGGCTTGGTGGTCCTGGATGACAAGGTCGGGCCGTAGGTCGGAGTTAATGCCTGGAACTTGTTGGTTAATACGCATTAGTGAAGTTTCAGGAATCTTAACAGCCTTTACGAGTCGGTCCAAGATGGCGTTGTGTCTTCGGGTGATCGTCGCGAGATGGGGCTTGCAATGGCATAACACGTGGGGAAGAGTTTCGGAGGAGTGTCCACATCGCCTGCAATTTTTGTTACCATTACCAAATCTTTTAGTCGCATTCAGGGGGACACAGTCCAAACGTGCTCGATGGATGAATCTCCAGTCTGCAAAACGGGTGAATTGACCCGTTTGCAGAAAGTGGTTCGAGCAGTTTGAACTGGTCGTAAGGCTATAAACTTTTCCCTGATCCGGCTTGGAGATGAGGCTCTGGCGGTAGAACTCTCGGACGGCAGAACGAAGGGAGTATTCGACGGTTGTGGCTGGAAGTTGGGTTTTGTTTAGTAAAAGGTTAATTTTGCCAGATTCCCATTTCCATTCGATGTCCATCTTCGCCTTCAGTCTTCGAGTCGCTTTGCGTAGTCGGATCCACATGTTGGTGATGTCGCTGGACTCAAGCCTGAAATCTCCTTCCATTGAACCGTTCAGATACTGAGTAATTTCTTGTTCGTTACGTATCGCTCTCCGAAGTCGTTTGGTCACCGTCTCGTGGAGGCAGGCTGCGGCGAAATCCTTGACATCTGGTGAGGTGAGTAGTCGGAGGCCGTGCACAAGTTTGGAGACATCCGCCAGTACTGAAATTTTCTGTAGTCCTAAGCCACCCATCTGATTGGAGAGATAGATGACTTCTGGGCTGGCTCGTTCAGGCAGATTCATCCACTTCTTGGCGGCGGACTTGAGCTTGTTGTCGAATGCTGTAAGTGGTTTCTTAGCTACAACACCATTTTTTAGATGAAAAGAGATACACGGTAAAACAAATGTGTTGATGGCGTCGGCCTTCTGCCATGGGGCGAGTAACGAGGAGTCGAGGGCGTCGAGCTGGGCGGTCATCTTCTCAATCACCTTCTGAGCGCTGGGGGCGGAGTGATAGCCGGTTGGTGTGCCTAGGTGTTCATATAGGTCGTCCTCAGAGTGGACGGCTATAAACTCCCCTTGTACTCGTAGTTGGTTGTTGAGTGCTTTATTCTTCTTCCCATCGATACACAGGCTGGCGCACTTCTTGGAGTTGAACTTCAGCCCTAACCAGTCAGCTGCCGAGGAGACGACATCGAGTGTTTTCTGAAGTTGGGTTGGAGTACCTGTGATTACCGCGAGGTCGTCCGCGTATGCCAGCACATCCACATTTCGTCCATGCATCTTGTATCCGTTGTTGACTTGGGAGATGGCTCGGAGAAGAGGCTCAAGTGTTAAATTAAAGATAATGGGTGACAAAGGGCAACCCTGCTTTACTCCTGCCTGAATTGGGATGTCGTTGGTCGGACCAGTGGAGCTTCGGATGGTTGTGGAGCAGTTGGCGTAGAGACGGCGGATGACCTCGATGGCAGTGTTGTTGAGTCCGGCGTACTTGAGGGCACTGAAAATGGATTGATGGGGAACACTACCAAAGGCATTTGTTAAGTCAAGCCATGCCATTGAAACTTGTTTTCGGTTCCGTCGCGCGTCCACGATGGTCGATTGGAGAACGAAGTTGTGTTCCGCACATCCGTCGGCTGCCACGAAGCCCTTCTGCGATTTGGAGATACGTCCATGGCGGCTTGCCCACTTCCCAAGACGATTTGCTAAAGTTGAAGTGTAAACCTTTGAAATAGTGTTGGACATGGAGATAGGTCTCCAGTTGTTAACTTCTCTTTTGTCGCCCTTCTTGTGGAGCAGCACCGTCGAGGATTGATTCCATTTCGCTGGCACGTGATGTAGTCGGTGACAAGCGTTGAAGAGCGAGGCAAGGATGTGTGCACCGTTGTCGTACTTCTTCCACACGGCGTAGCGAAGGAGGTCCGGACCAGGCGCGGTGTTGGAGCATCGGGAGAGACGAGACCAAACCTCCGGAGCTGTAAAGATTTCGTTAAACGGGTTAACATCACCGGCCAAGTTGTCCTCTTGCTCTGGCACGAAGTCGGGAATGGTCGGATCCACTAGTGGGGACGGTCCAAACACGTCGCTGAAATGCCGGTGGAGGTCGTTTGCTGGAATTTGGCAAAATGGTGAACCTGCCTCAACAACTTCTCTGAATGCCCGTGGGCGACACTTCCTGTACAGCTTCTGTATCCTCGAGGCGGCCCTTGGGTCGTAACGTGGTGGTCCTCTTCTTGGTGGCGGCGGCTGTCTTCTTGGCTGGGCTGGGCGTGGGCTCTTCGGCGGCGCGTCTCCCATCTTTGTTGTCTTCTTCGCCTCTTCCACGAGCTGTTCGAGCAGGGTGTCTAGATCTTGAGGATTAGTAACCCTATTAAACTTGTCCGTCCATTCCCGTTGATGTGGAGCTCCATTTGCGGCCATTGGTGGTGGCGGTTGAGGCACTGGAGGGCTCCTGAGCGGGGTCCGGTGGTGAATCGTGAAGGTGTTGTTCAGCTCGGCTGGTGGTGGGCTGGGTGGAGGCGTGGCGTGTAGTTGGCGAGCTGCGGCAGGTCCGGTGACTGGGGAACCGATGATTTCCTCAATTAGAATTTCATTAGGGATTTCTTTAGTAGTCTCATGAGAAAACTCTGGCCTCTGACCGTTCCTTTTGCGTGTTGCCTTCTTCTTGTAGCCGGGTGGAGGTGGGTGGGCATCCGGCGGCGATCCGATCTCAATTGAGTCATTATTCGCCTCCAACTGACCTCTCCGTTGTGTTGTTCCCTTCTTCTTGCAGCTGGGGAGGTGTGGGTTGAAATCCCTCTTGCCGTGGAAGTGGGCCAGACATCGAGTGCATTCGAAGACGAGCTTGGCGACGTGTATGCGGAGGTGCGCCTGTAAGCTTTTAATTGATTTAAGTTTGGCTGCGGCTGGAGCGACACATAGGCGACACCTGAGATCTATGCTTTCAATACTTTCTATATTTTCTATCTTGACTATGTAGTCGTTAAAAAGCAGAGGGAACCCATCCTCGTCGCATGATTTCCTCAGGTGTTCGTCCGCCTTTTTCTTTGTGTCGAACTCCAGACCACAGCTCTTGCACCTAAACACAAACTCATCCTTCCAGCCGTGCTTGTTGCCGAGGTGCTTCTTGAGGTCCCCCTGCCGGATGTAGATGCCTTCACACCATTTGCACTTGAGACGTTCGTCGAGCGGCATATCCAGAAAGTATTTAGATAAGGTTTGGGTTAAGTTAAACCTCCCTGGATCTGCCATTCCAACGTCTTCGGTGCTGTCCTCGGCGGGATGCCTGGAGGTGCGTAACGAGGTGGCGAGAGAAGAGGAGGCTTTTGACGTCGAGGCATCGTGTCGGGGCTCGTGTGAGTAGTCGTCCTTGGCATCGCGTCGGGGCTCAGATAGTCGTGTCGGTAGTCGGTGGTCTCCGTCGTCGTCGCTCGCGCCCGACATTAAATGGGGTTGTCTCGGCAATGCTGCCTTAACAAGAAACCCATTTAAGCCGATAAGGTCGTCTTCTTCGTCGTCCCTGGAGTTAACATTCGGCGTGACGGGGTAGCTCAACCGCTTTTGATCGCAGGAGCTGGGGGCTAAAAATAAAGCCCCCCCGTCTTCCGAGCTAGTTAACGTCACAGGGGAATCGACGGCTTTTATAGACTGGGGCTGTCTGTGCGTGGAGGCGGAGACGGAAGAGGCGACGAGGGAGGCTTCCCTTTGAAGTCGATGTAGACGCCTCGTGGTTCTCATAGTTCCAATCTCCGTGTTGTACTGTTCCAGCCTTACCCAGTATACACCGGTGCGTGACGTTAACAAGCGATAAACTTATTAAGCCGATAAGAACAGATTAAGTTTATTTCAGTGCATGATGGGCATGGTACAAAACCCCAGCCGGTCTATCACAACGGATTAAAATACAGGAAATGTATGAACCCACATTTAAGAAAACATAGGGTATATGCAAACACAGAAAGGGTTGAATGAGGAATAGTAAATGGGCCTAGTGAATTAGGAAACCATGAGAAGAGGTATGCACAGATAGAAATGTTGAGTAGAATATTGAACATTAGAGCACAAAGCAATAAATGTTATGAACCTATAGGAAAACACAAGACTAAATGAAAGTTGAAAGCTTTTGAAAAACTTATCTAGATTCATACTTTTAT